ACTCTTGCAAAGCTTTGACAATGCCCTGAAATAGAACCGTAATTACTCATACTAAAAACTACGCCTGTTTTCTTGCTTCCGCATACTTTAAACGTTGCTGCTACGTTGGTGAAGTTAGCAATACCACCACCAATGATCAGAATCTTTCCGTCAGCATTCTTCTCTTTTGTCATCAAGGATAGAATTGTTTTGGCATATTCATAAGTTTGCTGTTCACTTGGTGCACCTGAATATTCACCATAATTGGCCAGTTCTGCGGAAAATCCAAGATCACAGATAGTATCACTAGAGAAAAGAAAGTAAACGTTTCATCACTGAATAGTGTTCAATTAACCTGTAAATAACCGATGCACCACCACCGGCAACCATAGTCCATACACGACCTTTGGGATTTAGAACAGTTAGTTTTAACGAGGCACCTGATTTAGCATCAAGTTCAGCAATGTAGGCTTCCTAGAAGTCTAATTAGGATCAAGAGAATTTGAATATAAACTCTTCGTACTTCAGCATAGGCATCTCGACCGAATGGTGGTGGAAATTCGATTTTACCCCATTTTGGAGCGCATAAATAATCAGCTGTTTGATCGAGTCGACTTGCTAAATCCAAAATGTGGACTGCCTTGGATGTAACTACTAATGGATTAACTTCTAAGTACGTAAATTGTAAATCCATATAAACTGCATATAATTTAGAAATGAATTCTGATAAAAGTCTAAAATCGCAACAAAATATTCAATGAAATAAAAAAATTCTCTTATGCAAACGTACTTTCGTCGATCATTTGGTACATTCTTCAGAAGAGTGTTTTCCATAGTTTTATCATCGAATGGATCATCGATAGCAACTAAATATTGCAACGCTTTGGAATCAACATCACCAATGTCAATACCGCCTTCATGATGAAAGAGTATAACTTCACCTTCGCGATTCGAGTAAATACATATGTACATTTCATCTGCATTTTCATGGCTAAGAAACGGTTCAATAATAAAATGTTTCAATTTGCCTGTTGTGTGTCCAATCTGCATTTCAAACATATGGTGTTTTTTTTATTCTGATGGATACAATACAACTACTTACCGATATCTCTTTGTTGAGATTTTCTGCGATAAAGTCTTTCGCTCCTTGAAGGTCTACATTTGCTTTGATTAAACCAAGTTTTCCACGTCGTTTAATCAGTTGATCAGGTTTGGCTACCAATCTCTACAAAGAAAAACAACATACTCGAACTGCCATCAACGCAAATCTTTTCCTACTTCTGATTTTAACCAGGCATTGCTTGCAACTAGCTCATTCCAGTCCGTGTCAGCATCAATACCAACACATCGACATTCAGCTGCTGTCGAACCGAGATATTTATTTAAAATCTTTTTACCAGTTACTTCGTAAATTGCTTTTGTTGACATGTTAGTCGATTATCTGAAAGTCAGTTTCAAAGAAAGAATATGTTCGTGAGTGATATATAGCCAATCGATTCGGTAGTAACAAACAATGCATTCGAGTCCATCTGTCGCCAGCCCTAATGTAAATAACCTTTACTACTTTATCTCGAGGAAAGAAAAAAAAGAATGAAAGCCGACCCATGCTGACTTAGACTACGATGTACTTATATATAATCGACGCAGAATGAGGTGATCGTGAGGTGAGCGTTTGGGGAAGCGTATGATCTTGGGGTGGTGTGTATTTGAATGTGCAAATGAAAGCAGAAAGTCAATACTTGTTTTTGTGCGTAAAACTGATAATATTCATAAATTGAGACGTGATCGTCGACTGATGCCATCTGTAAGGAGAATCGGTTGTCAACGAAGAAAACAGAGAAATGAAGTAGAGAAACAAAAACGTAAATTAATAAAGCACTCATTGCGTGGACGGAACATGGCAAGTTCAAAATTGAACGAAAATCGTCGATCTTTGACTAAAAAGACAACAGCTGTGTTTCCTTTACCTAATGCAACCAAACCACGTTACAGAGTGGTGCACAAGACTGAGATCAATGAATTTCCTGATGATTTAATTTTGAGTATTTTTCGTTACTTGTCGCCCATTGATTTGCTCAGTGTAGGCATTATCTGTCGACGATGGTAAATTTCACTCCCAAATATCGCACATGCCATGATTCTTTGTTTTGCATCTTGTTAGGCATACCATTTCGCGAGATGAAAGTCTCTGGCGTTCATTAGTTTACTCCTATGGCCTCCAACAAACGGAATCGAATCTAACAAGCAAACAACTAGTTCAAAAGTATCTCAATCGTCAAATTAATATTCAATTACAAAAGCTTTTCCCGGTTAAATTCGATAAATACAAATCGTACACGGGTGTACTTGATTACGAGACGATATTTCAAAAATATTCCGATCGGTTTCAGTTTTTTCTCGCGTTTTGCGATGACAAACATAACGTCATCTGGTCACAAAAGTATGAGACAATTAAGTTTTTCGATATCAGCATGTCAGTCCGTTGGCTGGAGATAACAATGCCAGATTCATTAACTCGTGTACATTTTCTCAGACTTTTCGTTAATGTTTCAATCAAGATTAACACACGACCGAATCGTACTCGTTTACCGCAAGGAAATGAACAATTAGCAGATGTTACGGAAAAGCCAATTCAGCACACTCAAACGATTCAATCATTGTTACGCGAATATAAATTCGAATGGAATTTATTTCGAACTCGATCTGTTCCGTTAACAAAAGACCCTAAATCTCCTATACTTATATCCAGATTAGCAAATGAAGATGATCTTCTAATTGGTTACTACGAAAAAGATAAATCAATTGCTTTTGTCGTCTTTAATATTAACTACTTATCATTTCGCGAACTTTTCTTTGCCGGTCTTCGTACAACAGATTCCACGATGTATCGTTCATTGTCAAATTATATAGTTGGCTCACAGTTTCCAAGACCAAACGATATGGAGGTGTCTGTGTTCATCTGTCTTCGAAATATGACCACTAAATTCCTACGACATCGGTTTGTCAACTGTCGAATAAAATATTCCCCATCGCGAGTCATTGAAATGATACGTGTCACCGATATGAACAATGAATTAGGACCTGAGTTGTCTGAATTGCCTAAATTCAACTGGAAAACCGGTATTTTCAAAGGAACAATCACTGATATCTTTCTCATTGATGTTATTGTATTAAATGAAGACAAAAATGTTTCATTTAGTGTCACCCTTCCTGCCACATTGACTCCAGGCAACGTTGGCGAGGAATCCAGTCAAGGAAGCGATTATATTCTTTCATCAAATGTATGGAATATCAAAGCAGCATCTCAGTGCAATAACACCATTCAACTCAACGGAACTATTATGCGACTTGACAGTGAATATTGTGCCTTGGGAAGAGATTCCCAATCATGGCATATACAAAATATGACATGTTCTTTTTGATTCTCTGTTGTGTGAAATGTTAATTCATTGCGTGCACTCAAAGATTTATTTATTTTTTTCTCGCTTTGATGATTCAGTACTTGCACAACGTTGAGTAAAAGGAATATGGTATAAAAAAAATAATACATTTGTTCTGTCTTACAACTTTTGAAATGGAATGAAGTATGTCGATGGCATCAGATCAATATATCGGATACTTTCCCGACTACACACGTAGTCTTTGTCAGCGGTTCGCTGAAAATGCAACACGATGCGGTGAACTTCCAGCTATCCAATTTTTCCTTGCTCACTATCGAGCATTTCCATGTGTGTTACGATGTATCGTAGGAAAATCTAATGATCCATATCACAGCGCGTCTATTTTGCACTACTTGCACAACGAATTCAATCATGAACCCAAAAATGACATCGTTGTACAAAAATTTGATCAGAAATCGAAGCAGTTCTATGCGACGTAAGTAATTCTGAAAATGGAGATCAAAGTTCATTCATTTTTTCATCTAGTTTTCGTCTTTGCGACCTCCGAAATGGTATTATAATATATATGAAACATGGAAAATTAGTCTTCGATGTTGACAATCCAAATAATTGTGTTCCAGATTTTATGGATGATTATTTTCACGTATTCAAACAAATCCTTGTCTATCACCTTCCAGATGTCGAAAAGCAAGCGCGCGATGTCGCTCGTGAGATTACCAAACGAACCGTAGTCCTTAGAAAAACGCTGCGATTCCGTTTAATTTGCAGTCGACCATCAACAGGATTGTGTTTGAAATATATTAAACTAAGCAAACCCTTGATTTACGACTTGGCGTTACATTATGGAGAAAAGTTTGTAAAAGTTCACGAAAGTATTCTGAAGAACTTGAATAAAACTGACGGACATGGCATTGTTCTTCTGCATGGATTACCTGGTAGTGGTAAGTGACAAGCACTATGTAATGTATTGGTAGGTAATTTCAGTGTTGTATAGGTAAAACGCATTATATTCGTTATTTAATCAGTGAGATAGATGGAAAATCAATGATTTATTTACCCCCGGACATGGCCAAAGATCTGACAAAACCGGAGCTATTAGCTTTTTTACTTACGCATTCGAAATCAATATTAGTTATCGAGGATGCTGAAAATATTATCGGCGATCGTACCGAGCAAGTTTTGAATATGAACCAAGCTGTTGCCAATATACTGAATTTATCCGATGGGTTACTAGGTGATGCAATACATATGCAAATCATCGCCACGTTCAACTGCGATTTAATTGCGGTTGATAAAGCATTGCTACGCAAAGGAAGATTGATTGCGCATTACAGTTTCGGCAAACTCGATGTAAATAGTGCGAAAATTCTCTCGACAAAATTAGGTTTCGGAGTGGAAAATATCACAGCGCCAATGACTTTAGCCGAAATTTACAATCAGGAAAAAGAAGAGGAAAATGATACTCTTATTTGAAGTGACATTTTTGTATTAGAAAAGAATGAAAATATATATTTTAAAAAAGATCATTCTAAAATATAATTACAACTGATATGATAAGCGGAATAAGAAAGATATGAGTGTATGTCATTCGGTGAGAATCTTTGATCACAGATAAGTTTATCAGATCCATTTTTTCTCAAAATTGAAATTGAAGGATTGTTTTACTGTTGTGCGCGGTGTGTATGAAGCTGGGCCAGGCTGTTCAGCAGCTGTAGTAGTATCAATCGCCCATCGACTGGTATTAGAGACAAAGGCTGCTGAGGACATATATTTCTTTTCAACTTCTTTAAAACCACAAATTTCATAAGCGCCCGGGCCAGGGAATGGTGCTTCAGGTGCCGGTGGAATAGCTGGCGCCGAAATGGTTAAATATGGATGACGTCTAAAGGAAAATGTGAGTTTAATCGAGCTTGTGTGATATAGCATACGGAAAGATTTGTCGGTTTGGTTCTTCAGTCGGCTTCTGAAACGGACGATAATCAGCTGGTCCTGGCAACTACAATAATAGAAGGTCCATGCTTATCTAAGCTAGGTATGGATTAGAGATATACTTCAGGTCCGGAATGAGATCCGAATGCATCTCGTTTTGAAGTTGATTTAAAGCTGGATTGATGAATAGGTCGTAATGTTCGTGTAGCTGTGTCGTCGACATTGTATGCATCTACAAACAAAAACTTCGTTCTTTGTTCACATAAAGTAAGAGTGCACACGAACCAGGAGCTGGTGAAATAAAGTGGTTGTTTGTTTGGGCGGATCGTCTCGTATGTGAAAGGAAAGCTGCTCTCGCTGCAACGTTATTTGCTTTTCCCGTTCGCTTTAAACCTCGTGTAACCTGCAACGAACAATGGGAAGTAAATTTCTCTTTAAAAAAAACGGTACGAATGACCAACATCATATTGATTCGGCGCAGGAAGTGATGTTTTTGATGAGAGTGGCCGTTCGGCAATGGGCTTTTGAAACATACTGGAATATTTTGCTCGGTTGAAATCATGGTAATTATTGCCAAATTTGGAAGAAATATTATAGGTTGTAGGCGCCGGAGCACTTGCAGCACCATTTGTAAAACCCTCTCGTCTACTCTATATTAGAGATGTCAATACACTAACAGACACTCCTAGTAGTTCAACAAACTTTCGAAGCGAAACCGCCGGAGCCTTTTTTTGAATCGGACGTTTTCTCCAATTGTTTATCAATCGCCTGTACAGTTTGATATTGTCCGGGACCCGGTGTGAAACTCTGCAGTAGAAAATTATATCAAACATGCAGTGGAACAATTGAAAGTTTTGTTTTACTGTTTCGTATTGAAAACGCTTAGCAGTCTGGTAAAAGCCTTTTCTCTCATTATTTTTACTAACAATTGTTAGATAACGTGATGGAATCGATGCAACGCCAGCAGATGCAACAGTGAATCCTATGGAGAAATTTCAATTCAGAATTATATTTGAAAAAGTCAATCTTCTACCTCGCTGAACTTTGGCGCCTTCCGATTGCACTCGTTGAGGCTTCTGAGGCATCTCACCTCTCACGATACTATCCGTTCCTGAAATGGTCATATCTAAAACAGCGACAGGAATATCATTTTATTTGATATCAAATGGATTCTGTTCGCCCGTCTGAGCACACTCATTCATCGATTTTTCCCAATTTTCGCCGTCAAAATCAAGATATTCAATCGATTTTATCGTCTCACTATCAATACAATGTGGCATAACACCATAACAATCGGGGTTACTTCGAGGTTGATAGAAACTTTGGACACCACATACTCGACAAAACATGTGTTGAGCTTTATGCGTATTGAACGTGTACGTTGTTAGATGATCCGCACCGGTTAACAATTTGAATTGCCGTTTTGGAATAATAAAATGATTATTTTGTTTCTTACGACAAATGGAACAATTACATCGAAATACGCGTATATCAGCAGGTGCTTCGACTTCAAACTTAATTGCGCCACAGTGGCAACTGCCTAGATGTTTAACTAACATATCTAAAACGGCAAAACAAACAATTAATTGACTAGTTAGATGGCATGTGTATTTATTAAGAAAGAAAACATGTTCTATTTATCGTCATCTTTTTCTTCCTTTTTAGCTCGACGTTCAGCACGTATCTCCGTCCATTTCTGACGTTCCATTGTTTTCATATGTTCCATGAAATTCACACCGAAACCTTTACTGAAATAATTCGTTGTATCAAAGTAATCACCATCGGGTGCATCATAGTTCGGATTCGGAAGACTATAGAGAGGTCCACGGCGAACAAATGGAATTAACTTTTTGTCTACCTAAACATAGAAATTATATATCATTGAACTGTATAGAGCATTCTTTCATTCATACTTGTATTGCTTGTTCGTAAAGTTGTTCACTTTCTTGTTTCAACTGTTCTAATGCACTTTCTTGGGATTTGATAGCACGAGAGATGAAAGTGACCTCTTGTTGGTGTTGTTTATGTTTGTGTTTAGCCCAATCGCGATTTAACATCAGTCGACGTGTCGTTTCTTCAGAAGTCAATTCAGTAGGGAGACGTTTTCGAACGCTAAAAGCAAAGAACTCGTACAAATCGCTTTTCTGATCGTTTTTTCATACTCAAGTTCCTTGAGAATTCGTCGTTCGGGTTCGTACTCATGCACAGGTTTTAACTGAAGTTTGAATTTTTCTAATTTACCAATCACTTTCTCATACCGACGTCGTTTACGATCTTCTCGAATCTTATCCGACATTGGATCGGCTTTCTTCTTCGCTTTGGTCGGCATGGCGTAGTTGATCGTTGTCGTATGAATAGAGCGAGTCCATATATTTCTTAGGTGAAATATTGATGTTGAGAGAATACTCCTATTCATAGTTAAACTAAATATAACAAAAAAAAGCGTCGTTTACGATGGTATCTAAAGGAATTTTGTCTGATGGTCGTTATGCACCAATCAAAATAACATTGTATTCGAATGTCTGATTGGTTAAACGATTGCGCAATACGATTACAAGAAGTTGAAATAAATGAATGAATGCAAGATTTTTTTCGAAATTTTCAATTATGGTTCGTCTGACACCTGAAGTTATCGAAAACGCTCCTCAATATCTCAATCCCGTCGGTCAATATGAACTTTGCCTGCGAGGTAAATACAAAAAATCGATCGAACGCACTCTTCAATGTTATATCTTTAGATCTGAAAATCCCACTGATCGAAAATTTAGGTGCAACATTGAACCAATTTGATACACTCGATCTAACCAACAATGATCTTCGGAAAGTAGATGGTTTTCCATTTCTACCAAAGATTAAAACACTCTATCTGTCGAATAATCGTATCGCGTATGTGATTTAGTCAAGTACCACTAAAATCATGAATTGTGTTCTAGTTCCATTGCACAAAATCTCGAAGAATACATTCCGAATTTAGACACGGTTATCCTAAATAACAATTCCTTGCAAAACTTAACAGATATTGATCCGTTATCAACTTTACCAAAACTTGCACATGTCAGGTATGAGTTTTCATACAACTCAAAGAAAAAGATATATCTCTCTTCGGCAGCTTTATTGGCAATCCGATTGCGATGACGAAAGATTATCGACTTTACATAATTCATATGCTACCGAATTTACGCACACTTGATTTCAATCGAATCACTAACAAAGTAACGTTACAGTAGAAATGTTTATCATACTCTTTTTTATTTCGATTTTTCAGGAACGTGAGCTCGCCAGTAAAATCTACAAGTCTAAATCAAGTAAAAAGAACAAGAAGAAACAAACTCAGACGAATACGTTTGTACCCGGTGAACAGTTAACAAAACAGCCAACATCTCGATTGACAAAGAAAGATGCAGAAGCTATCAAAGTTCGTACATAGCTCATCATTTTTCTTCCTCATCTAAATTTTATTGTGATCGTTTAGAAAGCTATCAAAGAGGCGAAATCTCTTGAGGAAGTGGAGAAGTTAACAGCAATGTTACAAGCTGGTCACATGCCGAATCTAAACAGCGATGGAAACAATACAAATTCGAATGGTTCAGGTAAAATTTTATTAAAAGGAAATGAAATTCTTTAATAATTCTTTTCTTCTAGGAACGAATCTCATGGAAATTTGAGACGATGCGATTTTAATTACGTGTTTGTGTTTGCTACGATTGTTTATTTTTATATAAATAAATCGAGATAATGAAATAAAGAGTCGAATCAATTGGTTACGTTTGTATTTTTTTAGATAACAATGGCAACTGAGAACGATATTGTTTCGACACCCGAATGTATGTGAACCGACAAACGAACTAATATTCTCCGATAACATAGCGAACACATATGAGTTCTGTTTGTTTTATAGTGATACATATTGCGGATTTAGCCCATGCTCGAGCTCAGGAACTTCAGGCACTTTTACACGAACTCGGACAGAGACAAGATAAACATCGAACTGCTCTTCAAATATTGCCACGCTATATGCGTCGTCGAGCAGCAAGTTACAATATTAAACGTTTACCGCGTTCACTTCGTCCATTAGCTGATCCGAAAACCGTAATTTGATTCGTGAAAACATCTTTGCTTTTCTACTCACTGTTTGTCAAGGGTACAGCCAAGACCAAGCGACCCTCTCGTCGTTATCGTCGTCGACCTCGAGATCTCCTTTCCTCGTATACAAATCGACAACGAAAAATAAAATGGTTGAAAACTCATATTTGGCATGCAAAACGATTTCATATGAATACATTTTGGAATTATCGTCTTGCGGAAAGATCGAACTTGAAATCTATTCGACCAACCTATAAATCTCTACATGAACGGTGTCTGATACATGTAAGCTTCATTCTCTTGCTTCACAGGACATTCTTCAGTAGTACTCATTCAGGACATGTCATACTATGGATGCATTGAATTGGCAGGTCAAGAGGACGAAATCATTGAAAAATTGAAACCGCTATTTCCATTATCGAAGACTAATCTAACACCAAAAGCAAAAATGTATCTCAATGGACAATTTGAAGGTCAATGTCTTGTCTATAAACCGAATACCCAAGAATGTTTGACACCAATTAGTTTCATGTGGATGCCGTCGTCGAACGACAAACAACAACGAAAACTGTGGCTATGGTGTCATCCGGCATCATACGATGCATTAACTGAAATTCTCTCTTCACTCTTGAATACGACAGTCGATAAGTCAACTGATGAACCACCGACAAAGAAGCAGAAGAATGACGATGATATAACTATCACGCTGCTAAGAGATCAACAAAAATTAGCTCGCTTTCGCCTTATTGGTCCACTTGCAATGACTATTCTAAAACATGCATTACACCCGAGTGTGTTACCTGGCAATCCCATCGAACGAAATACAGCTCCAATAGCATGGTGGTGTACTGATGCACATTCATCTGATACACACCAGCAGCAACTGCAGTTTTGGAATAGCAATTCAGGAAACACATCGACTATGATGCCTAATCGAATTGTTTCAATGGTTGTGCGAGATCCACGCGTATTTACGCCGACGAAGCCCAAATTAACAATTCACTCAAAGACAAATATTAACAAATCAGATGTCACTCCTCCTCCAACAATTGATCTTGCAAGTTCACCTCTATGGAATGAAAAATATCGCACACATTGTTGCGAGCATAAACTAGCTACTTATCAAATTAACCTTCTGCGATCAAAAGCAACCGCAACTGATAGTAAATAGCCAGTATACAATTTGATATTCACACATGTCTCTCAATTTAGATAATGAATTGCAGTTAAATGAGGAAGAATCACAAATTCCACTGATATTGGTTCATCATCATGATTTACTTTCACCGACCGCAAAACCTGGATCAATGAGGAACGATTTAGGCAGTGGATGGGATATTATTTTGCCCAATGATTGGGCGCAAATATTTTGGATTTCATTCATTTACAGTGGTGCTAGACCTATTGGTCAAAAAGAACTCTCGCTAGTTGCACATGAAACAGGTATGCTGAGCTAACAATGTACTCCAGTTGTAAGCAATCTATATCTTATAGGAGAATTTCAATTTCCCCAAGAATATCCGGATACAGACGCCGGTATTAGTTGGACATCGAAACTTGAATCGGAACAGTTAGCTCACTTTTCTAAATGTCCACCTTCAAAACGACCGAATTTCTTTCTCAATGGTGTTGTTAGTCCATTTCGTCCGCTCTGGTCAAATATCGTACGTGATTGGGCAAAGGAACACGATTCAACAAGCACTTCAGCGCCTTTGGATCGATTCTACGTTTTACGTGATCGTCAGCAACACTCAGTTGATTTTCTCCGACAACATCTCCATTCATTAATACCCATTCGCATTAGTACGAAAGGCAATAAAGGTGTCATTGACGATACAACATTGATTTATTTACCAACTAAAGACGATTTGAAGAAGAGTCAGATACCAGTGGTCGAACCTCAGCATCGTGATCAAGCTCGAATCGAAGAACGAAAAATGAAGAAGGCCAAGCGACCATTTCGGCGAGGAGAAACAATGGTGAAACTGATCGAAGAACGAGCGAAAAATGTCGAAAAAGACATCATCCACGAATGCGATCGAAAGTTACTAGGTGCGATAACAAGTGGAGCATTCCAATTATCTCACGCCTACTGCACAGGAAAGGGTTTTATCGCAACTGCTGGATTGTTGGCTCTTTTACAGATACAGGAAGCGAAAAAACAGTCTGTCCGTGTGCTGATCCGAACAACTACATCGCAATACTATCGATGGGCATTGTTAGAATTTTAGCATCTAGGAAATCAATGCTTGCTTTTCTTTCATACGTTGTAGGCAATTTTGTTAATATTATACTACCGTGATAGGATATCTAACGAAAATAAATTTACACTGTTATTTCCTAGTATTCGATTGTAAGAAAATATTAGCGCGTAGGTTGTATGACAGCGACGCCAATCTTATATAGGTATGCTTTGGTGAATGGTAGAATGCGACGATCTATAAATAGATATAAACGACGGACGTCTTTCGTTGAGAGATTAGAACGTGACTAGATCAATATCGATTGCCTCTATCGAAGCGAGAAAGGGAATAAAAGGTACGCATTGCGCGTTTGTTTTTCTATCCGTGGAGTATAGAAAATGGTCTACACAATAATTGTCGTAAGTAGAATCCAGACTATCGAAGAATTTGTCTTAAGAGTTGATTTTGTAGCATCTTGTTGCTAAACCTGAGCATGTTGATAAAGTAAAAGCAAAATTAATCGAAGCTAGTAGAGTTTACAAAAATGACAAAGAAACAATCGACTGGCATGTTGCTCAAGGTTTGTGTCTCATTCTCGATCAACTTTGCCTACTAACTATTCTATTGTCAGATGTCCATGATCCATGCAAATTTTCAATCGTGGAGCGGTATGAGCAAGAAAGTTCGCAATCTTATCATTTAAACAATCCCTACTGGAAAACATTTGATCCGTATGTGAAGCCATTGCTCGCCGAACCGATGGATTTAAGACGAGTTAGTGAATTAGATACAAGTAAAGATGTCGACGTACCTCAGCACAATATTACTGAAATAACTTATCAAGAATAAACTGAACTTGCGAGAAAACTCATTTCTTTGTGGTATTATTCTATCAAAAAAGGTTGCAACATGTTTATTTTCGTTTCGAAGATTGTGACAAAAAAAGAAATGCACGCAGGAAAATTAGAAAAAAAACATACACATCACAAATCAATATAATTCACTATGTGCTTTTTTTATAATTAGGACGAAATCGAATCAGCAAGATGTTTTCGATGTAGTTCTTCACATTTCACTTTCAATTTCGCGAATTCATTTTGAATTATATCAGTTACTGCCTTCCGTATTTCTTGCTGAAAGAACAAACGAAATAGAGTTTCGTATTCCAAAGAATCTGTTGCACTATACCAATGATCGGTTTTCGCTCTTCATTTTTTGTACAAGTTCGTCGAAGACTAATGGCTCCCCAACATAAATGCTAACTTTTTGGCCCCTTTGAGGAATGTATGGCTCTGTGTTCGGTAGAACTGAATCCATTCCTAATGAACTCGAATTCATAGTCATTATGATTCAACTCGTATTTTTTTTTCATACCGAGATGATAAAATGGAACAACCAGGGGGCAGATAGTTGCCTCGGCAATCAGCCGACCAACACCTAAATTACCACTCGTGCCAATGCTGATTCAATTCCGGTTCAACCTTACCCCATTTGAGCCTCATCAATTCTTTTGATAGATTTACTTTTCCTACAATATAACATGAGAAGATATGCCTCAATTGTATAAATAAACCTGTTCACCTTCTGGAAAAATGTGCACCCATCCGCCTTGATTGATTTGTTCTAAAGCAAAATCCATCGGTCGCTGATACACACCATCACCTCGGGTCACAGGTATTATTTTCCCCAAACTGAAAAACAACTGGTGTCTTGGCAAGGTGAACACAATATCATCAGCGCCAACGCCCCAGCGCATTCGATGACGGTTCCAGAAAACGCGCAATGGTAAAGTCGCTCCTAGACATAGCAATAAGAAATGATCATGCATTGATATAGAAGATCTCGATGAAATCGAATATATGTAAAACTAGAGAGAAGAAAGAATACTATTGTCTCATATACCGAATAACAATGGATCGTCCATACCTGTTTTAAAAACAGAATAGAAATATGGCATGGAACATGTTTTGACAAATCTTACAACAATGATGATTAGCAACGGTAATCAATGGTCGATCGGGATCTCGATGTAGTACAGCATTGACAAGAATTTCACCTTTTCAAACAAGAAATGTTATGTGCGCTGTACGGGGAACTCTGTGAACCGTTTACCGTTTTCTACACGAACTGAGGTTAAGTATTCTACAAATGAGCACAAAACATCGCATGGTTTGCAGTCGGTATCCATTTATTAGTATTGACTCACTCATCCAACCTTTGCTTAGTGACCCGGCAAGTCCAATCGTGACGGCTGAAACTGCTTTATAGAATATCGATGGTCTTTCTGGAAATGGCCAATCGAATGAAAGAGGCATGATCTAAAACATGTCGTCACGTTCCCGATATAATCATCGTCAATTACAAGTGAATAGCATACAATCAATCTGATTTATTTTCATGTATATATCACAGCAATGCAAAATAAACAGAAAACTGAATGGTCATATAAAAATACAAATTGATTATTGATTAGGTCAAACAAACATCACACTACACTAAAAACCTAAAATGTTCACATTCATCAAAGTTCTTGACGAACATTTGTAGATTCTTCTTTTTGCTCAGCCGCAGTTCCATTCTCGTTTGTCGTTTCTCGAAGTGATTTGAACGAGAGAAGAATACTCTCACGCTCTACTAATTCTTGTTTCTTCTCCTTACTAACCTAAAACAAACGCATTGTTCATTACTTCTCAATTTCGAATAAATGCAAACTCTCAGTATGTGAGATGTTGAGCTCATTGAGAAAGAAAATTTACAGCAAATATCGTCATTTACTCTCTCGAACGACTCATCAATATAATCGTATATTTATTTCCGTAGACCGAAGAGTTCAGTATATATGAATGTGCTAACCATACCAAACTATTTCATGAATACAGAATGTAATACACTTTTGTAAAGATTCGCATTTGAAAGAGTAAACTTCTATAGATGCCGGAAAAGATTTCCCTCAGCATTAGCATGGCAGGTATCATCATCGAGTTTGCAAATGAGATCTCATATATGTACCTTTCCCTTGAGAAGATTCTGAATGCGTCGTTCTTCACGATTGAAATAGTCGATGCCATTTTTAACAACCGCTTCCATGATTTTCACATATACTTCACCACTAAATTACAAAAAACCTAGTCGAGCACTCGTCAGCGAACCAATTCTTACCTCGCCTTCTCTTTCTGATTATCCATACTTTCCACTAGATTTCGTGCTTTTTCTAATATCACATCTCGTTCATTGTCATTCTTATCAAAGGTTGCATCGAAAAAGTCGCGAGCAATCCCGTCCAGAACCTCCACTGTGCCGTTCAAACCAAGCCAAACATCTAGAAATATTCTCTTTAGTGAAAATACTCAGAAGACTCGATTTTACTTGTATGTCGTAGTAGAAAACGTCGAAGATCATCTGCTGATCGATCGCCAGTATAATGAATTGGTTTAGGTTTACCCTTAAGAAACAATCTGTAGATGGGAAATTCCGGTTTGAACGCCTGGTAACCGAGCGCAAAGTGAAAATTCTCTTGTTCATCGCGGTCAGTCACAGGAACTTCGGCGATGATGAAATCTTTCGACCTGGTGACACTCAGAGATATCGATTTAAAATCATCTTGTAAACCACCGAAAGCTAAACAACAATAGGAATGCTAAGTTCGATGCATATTCGGATACATACGAAATTTATCATCGAATTTAATCAGAACGGCATCGAAGCGGTGTAGAATCTTTTCGAAAGTAAGCGCGTCGATTGTCAAGGTACCTTGTGTGTGTCCAAGATGCGATGTTGATGCTGATGTTAAGACGAAACAGCAGATGAAAAGCAGTAAACGCATTCTCTTATCGTCGAAATTTTAATTTCAAACGAAAAATGAATGAAGGACGCATTTGTTTGTATTATATACACTTGGTTGAACAAAGGCAACCAATGAAACAATGCCGCGCTTGGACGTTTCATCGATTGTGGTGACGCCGATTAAAAAAACAAACTTTTCCGCTAAATATCCATCTAGAATGAATGGATCATGTGAAGTTTAATGGATCAAATAACAAAAAAAGAAGTTTGATTTGAGGAATGTATGAAAAAAAAAGAAACTAAGATTGTCACACACGGTTAAACATCAAAAAGAAAAGAGTCTCTCACCAACACCACAACATTCTTCAATATCACGCGTTTCTGTCGAAAGAAAAAACTTGTCTAAGAGTCAGCAAAAACAAAAAATATAGAAGATAGTGTTAGACTAGTACATGGGATATTTAGTAACGAATGGAAGTTTGTATTCTTATAAATCGAGTTTCTTTCTAGCATCTTTGATGAGTTCTTCGGCTTTGTCTTTGCCGGCTTCGTAGAGTTGGCCAGTTTTCTCTAGAGCTTCTTTGCCATATTCTTGACCGAGCTCGACTGCTTTAGCAGCAAATTCTTTACCAGCTGAAAAAGAATCGAACAAGTGCGTCATGAAATACAATGGCAATGTACGATGTTTACAAACCTTCGAGAGCAACAGGTACTTTCTCTTGTAGGATTTCACCGGCTTGATAAGCATACTCACTAGTGGCTTTCATCGCTTCAGCTGCGAATTCTTTTGCACCTAGACAAATGGAATTGATGTTCGAAAAACACGAAATTCTACGTTAAAATCCATTTACTTTTGATTGTTTCAGCAGCTACATCTTCAAGAGTTTCTTTGGCGAGTTCTGTGAAGACTTTTCCTTGTTTCAAAGCTTCGTCAGCATATTCTCTGCAATCGAACAATAAAAACAAAATATTGTTAGCGACAAAAAAGATGAACACTTCCTTACGTGGCGTATTCTTTAACGACTTCAGCACCGTGAGCTAAATACTCATTGCCAGCTTCAGCGGCGTTGACAGCTTTTTCACTGAGTACTTCAGCGTATTCTGAACCAACTTTGGCAGCTTCAGCAGCTTTTTCTTTGATAACATCGGTGGCTTCGAGAACTTTTTCCTGAAATGAAAAAATTCTCTTGAAAAAAATCTGGCCGTTACCATCGCTGTACAAACTTTGACAATTTCAGCACCTAAATTAAACAAAGTCAATTGATAGACGTTAATTTCAAAGATTTCTTACCGGCGGCAGCTGTTGGAGCAACGTATTCTTTGAATACTTCTTGAGTTTTTTCGACGCTGACATGAGCCGCTTCGACAACTTTTTCAACACCAACATGAGCAGCTTCAACAACTTTTTCTTTGACCACGTTCAATGTCTCGCCGGCTCCAGCAGCTTTGTCTTTAACAACATCCAATGTTTCGCCGGCTACAGGAGCAACCTAGACAAAGAATATCACATTCATCTATTAACATCGTATCGACTTTTTCACATTGTCTATCCTACATAATCATTGATAACTTCTTTTGTTTTTTTTGCACCGGCAGCAGCGAAGTCTTTTGTTACTTTGGCAGCATCAACTACTGCTTCTTGGCCGACCTTAGCTGCTGTTGCAGCAGCATCGGATATATATTCACCTAATGAAAAACAAACACAATAGATTCCGATGCAGACATTATCAAAAACGATTAGAAATAGAAGAACAAACGTTGCTTTTGTTACTATTAGCTGTCAAAGTGCAAGATCTCTCTACTTACTACCATCTGCTTCTATGAATTGCGGAAAGAAGTTCGTATATTCTCTTTTCAAATCATTCAATTTTGCCTTTTCACTTACTAGCAGTTTTCGCAGCATCTGTAGCAACTTTTGCTCCAGCGGCAACACTTTCGGACACAGTATCCTTGAGATGACTTGCTCCTTCGACTACATTATCTTTGAGATGTGTAGCGCTGTCAACGACTTGATCCTTCACTGTTTTACTTTTTGCAGCGGTGTTCGACACGTAACATGCAATAACAATTAACAAGAAAATGCTTCGAAGAAGTTGCATTGTGAGCAAATCTATTCGTTGATTGAGCTGGATCTATAATACGAAATAAAACAAGGTAATGGTGTTATTTTTTTCAATGGATCTAACAAGATAAAATTCGAACAATTTTCTTTATTTGTATTCTCACGAGAAAGAAAGAAAGAAAGAAAATCACACGTAGTCAGACAAAAACCAAAAACTTCAATCCATGAAATTACTGAATAGTATCTAGTCTATATGTATATGTCAATCATTCCCAATAATGACTTGCGAGTTTAAAAAAGTAATATACACACATAAAATAATGATGAGTTGCGCAAAAAAAACACATAAAAAAGAGAAGGACTATGGAATGATGTATTCCGCAATGTTGATACGAATAATACACAAAGGAGATTAAGCTGGAAGTCAGTGAGAAGAAAAATGCTTGATTAATTTGTTTTCGTAAAGTGTAAGGGAGAGGAAACAACAAAAGGGGGTGAGTAAATACTGAGAATTACAAATGTCATTCTATCTTGACTGATTCGCTTAGAGATCAACGGTTTCCTTGACTTTCTTCTTGGCTTTCTCGGCCGTTTTCTTCGCTTTACCGGATACTTCATCGAATTTCGATTTAGCTTGATCAGTTACATCAGCAGCGGCCTTTGATGCTAATCCGATAGTTTCTAGAAGGAAAAACAAAGAGAAAGTATTTGTTTGTTCTAGATGAAAGATAATCTTGTACCGAAAATCGAGTTTTTGACATCGATAAGGATATTGAAGAGTTTATCGCCGAGACCTTCACTTCGTTTTTCAACTTGTTTCTTTGCATCTTTAGCAGCGGATTTCAATTTTTCACCGGTTTCACTGGCTTGACGTTTGAGTTTTTCACCATGTTCTATACATCAAATCAAAATAAGTCCAAAGAACAAGAGGAAACTTACTTGCAGCTTGTTCAGCAACGTTATCAGCTGCTTTCTTGGCTGCTTTCGCGGTTTCATCGGCGGCATCTCGTCTAAACAACACAATTATTCACTAATTCACTCTTTTTCTTCTAAAAAAAATACATACAAATCTTCCACACTACCACTAGCTTTCTTCTTGAGCTCTTCACCAGCCTTCTTAGCTTCATCGAGCTTTTTACCAGCAACATCTTTTGCTTGTTCTGCCGCTTTTTGACCGGCCTTAAGTGCTTCAGCTAAACATTATCAACGATAAGCGAAGTTTCAAGAAACTTTCTTTCAATGTTTACCAGCTTTATCTTTGAGTACGTCAACATTCTCATGAAGTATTTCCGACGCTGAATCGGCAGCAACTTTCGCATTGACGACGCCTTCACTCACAATATGAGCGACTTTTTCCTAGAAAATAACCCAAACATCATTTGTAAATAACGCACATACTTTCACATACTTTAACTTTTTCACCTTGATGCAATGCTTCGGATGCTCTATCTCTAATGTCATCTTTGATATTACCACTGACGATGACGAAGCATATGACAGCGAGTATGATAGTTTTGAACATGATTGTAGAACGAGAAGTTTTCAATGAAACAAATGACTAATATCTGAAATATACGTACAGAAGTTCGGCTAACTATTCTATGTTCTGCATCTTTGTACTGGAAACCATCAACGTATTCCTTCGAAGTGTCGCCACATGTCAAAATTGCGAAAACGTTGATGCTACCGATGACTACCTTTTCTAAGTTCACGTGGCGATTTTTTCAGATGATTTTGATGGCAATATCCATTGAAAAATAATTTTTAATTAACAATTCAGTGTATCGACTAATTCAATTAGCGAACTTCGATGAAAGCAAAAAAATTCTTTCTCATCTCTCATTATTTTAGTAGTTGGAGGCGTAAAAGAAAGGAGTATGACTCATTCAATACCACTATCTATTTTGTTTCTAACAGTCGTCCACATTTATATTTAAAAGATAAGATTATATCTCAACTAAGACCACAAAAATCTTCATTTCTCTATCTCTTCTTCTTTTTATAAAGCGAAAGCAAAACATAAACTTTTTTTGCATTTTAATTCCTTTCTTCTATCTTCAAGATCATAAACATGGCGGGACAGTTGCCGATTAAATTCCAAGAGCATTTACAAGTAAATGAACATCTTCGCAGTCTAACATATCCAAATCCGTCTCTGTTTTAGCTTCAAAATGTCGGTATCAATGTTACCAATATCGGATTTAGCTCACTCACGATGGAATCCGATAAATTCATATGTGTACGAGAGAAAGTTAATGATACAGCGTTCGTTATTATCATTGACATGGCTGATCCGAACAATCCGATCAAGCGACCAATTACAGCTGATTCAGCCATCATGAATCCAGCCAGTAAAGTCATTGCTTTGAAAGGTAAGTTAACTGAATGGATTCACTACGGAAACATCGCTGAACTGCGCTTGTCTTGTCTTCTAGCTGGTAAAACTTTGCAAATTTTCAATATTGAATTACGTAGCCGAATGAAAACGTTTAATATGACAGAAGATTGTATTTTCTGGAAATGGGTCAGTATAAATACCATTGGTATTGTGACTGAAACATCGGTATACCATTGGACTACGGAAGGTGACAGTCAACCATTGAAGATGTTCGATCGCCATCCAACTTTACAAGGCTGTCAGATCATTAATTACCGTACTGATGATTCGTTACAATGGCTTCTCGTAAATGGTATGCGAATTTTGTTATTTGAATAGATAAGAGTAGACTTTTTTTCTTCTATTTATTCTTCTCAAGGTATCCAAGCACAAGAAGGCCGTGTCGTTGGCCGTATGCAGCTTTACTCCGTTGAGCGCAAAGTTTCTCAACCAATCGAAGGCCATGCTGCTGCATTTACTCAATTTAAACTCGAAGGAAACAAGAAATCATCTACACTATTTTCCTTTGCTGTGCGAGGACAACAAGGAGGAAAAGTAAATAGATCTAATCTTTGCACTTTTTTAACTTTTTCTTTATCTTCATTTCTAGCTTCATATCATTGAAGTCGGTACGCCAGCACCTGAAAATCAACCATTCCAGAAGAAGGCAATCGATGTGCAATTTCCAGCCGAAGCGCCGAATGATTTTCCAGTGGCGATGCAAACATCGGCCAAACATGGTGTTATTTATCTAGTCACAAAATATGGTTATGTTCACGTTTTCGATATCGAAAGCGGAACATTGATCTACATGAATCGTATTAGTGCTGATACAATGTTTGTTACAGCGCCCTATGAACCAACATCAGGCATCATTGCTGTCAATCGCAAAGGACAAGTAATTGATGATAAATAATAGAACATTTCTTTTCATACTTTTCTTCCTGTAGGTTCTGTCAGTTAGTGTTGACGAAGAGAATGTCGTGTCTTATATTCAAAATACACTAGGCAATGCTGATCTTGCTTATAAGATGTCAGCTCGATGTAATTTACCAGGTGCCGATCAACTATTCGTTTCAAGATTCACACAATTATTCCAAAGTGGAAACTACGGCGAAGCTGCCAAAGTCGCCGCTACAGCACCACGAGTAAGTTGTCAAGTGGAAAACAGAATGATGTGTGATGATAATGATACCCTACGATATCATTCCCTTTCGATCAATTTAACTCTACATGTAATTTTATATCATCTTCATGTCTTCGATGATAAGAATAGAAGTGTATTGTCTACGATTACATGTATAGTCAAAGTTTGATTGAATGATTGTAATCTCGAGAGCTCAAAGGAGAATGAGCATAAATCTATGTCCTTCGCATAAATGTTCGCCGATTAGTGCAATTCTCCAGAGATTGGAGACAGACGGGCATTTGTTAATCACATATGATCGAATGTTTTGTGCTTTCAATAGGGAATTCTTCGTACGCAACAAACAATTCAACAATTTCAAACAGTTCCACCTCAGCCAAATCAACCATCACCTTTACTTCAATATTTTAGTATTTTACTAGAATCAAGCAAATTAAATAAGGAGGAATCAATTGAATTATGTAAACCAGTTGTCATGCAAGGAAAAAAACAACTATTAGAAAAATGGTTGAAGGAAGATAAGGTAATTTTCTATTCAAAACATCGTTTATCATGAATCATGATCATTGTACCTTGTTTTCTCTTGATAATAGCTCGAATGCAGCGAACAACTAGGTGATCTTGTTAAATCAGTCGATCCCACATTAGCTTTGTCGGTTTACTTACGTGCTAATGTACCTATGAAAGTCATCCAATGCTTTGCTGAAACAGGTCAATATCAAAAGATTGTTCTCTATGCCAAAAAAGTCAATTACCAACCTGATTATATATTTTTACTTCGAAACATTATGAGAATCAATCCTGAGCAAGGTGTTCAATTTGCTCAAGTAAACTTTTCCCTCTCGAACTCCACTTTGTACATTCCTATGCGTGTTTATTTAGTTGCTTGTTCAAGACGAAGAACCAATGGCTGATTTAACTCAAGTCGTTGACGTTTTCCTTGAACAAAACCTCATTCAACAATGCACGGCATTTTTATTGGAAGCATTGAAGAATAATCGTGAAGATCAAGGTCATTTACAAACACGATTATTAGAAATGAATCTAATGCAAGCACCTCAAGTAAGGACAACTAAATCTCATTCTTTCCAAAACAAGAATATTCTAATCTTAGGTAGCCGATGCCATTTTGGGTAATAACATGTTTACTCATTACGACAAACCACACATTGCTCAACTATGCGAAAAGGCTGGTTTACTTCAACGCGCACTTGAACATTATACAGATTTGTATGACATCAAACGCGCTGTCGTACACACGCACTTGCTTAATCCAGATGTATGTATTCAAACTTGTTTGTACTTCAAATGAATATTCCACTTTTTTTTTCTTTCAGTGGTTGGTAAACTACTTCGGACGATTGTCCGTCGAAGATTGCGTAGAATGTCTCAAAGCAATGCTTCAAGCTAATATTCGACAAAATTTACAAGTTGTTGTTCAAATCGCCACTAAGTACCATGAACAGCTCGGAACTCAAAAGCTAATCGAATTATTCGAATCATTCAAAAGCTATGAAGGTATGAGAATCATACTCCGGGTTTCGTTTCATGTATCGCTGATCAGTAGAAGAAATCACTTCAATCTAGTCGAATTGATAAAGCTACATGCTGAACGAGTTCGAGTCCGCCTGGTATCGCTCGTATCATATCCTTGTTGTGATACGACGAATGCCCAGGCAAGAGAAGACGGATTATGTAAACAGCTCATTAAATTCCATATTTAGTTTAATGATCCTGAGAATTCGAACAGATTTCAAGTCTTTCTTTTTCTCCTTTTAGGTCTTTTCTACTTTCTGGGTTCGATCGTTAACTTTAGCCAAGAACCGGATGTACATTTCAAGTACATTCAAGCTGCATGTAAAACAGGCCAAATCAAGGAAGTCGAACGTATTTGCCGAGAATCGAATTGCTATGATCCCGAACGGGTAAAGAACTTTTTGAAAGAAGCCAAATTAACTGATCAATTACCATTAATTATCGTTTGCGATCGTTTCAACTTCGTCCATGATCTTGTCCTTTATTTATATCGCAATAATTTAATGAAAAACATTGAAATCTATGTTCAACGAGTATGTCGCCAAAGAAGAATGTTGTTTCGAAGAGATTTTCTTCGTTTATTCTAGGTAAATTCAGGTCGTTTACCTGTTGTAGTTGGTGGTCTACTCGATGTCGACTGCAGTGAAGACAATATCAAGCAATTGATTCTCTCTGTCCGAGGAAACTTCAATGTCGATGAACTGGTTGAAGAAGTCGAAAAACGCAATCGGTTTGTAGACACAGAAAAATTGGAAACAGTTTTCTTCATTCTCTAATTTGCACCTATCATTTAGAACCAAATTACTTTTGCCATGGCTTGAAACTCGTGTTCACGACGGTAGTACCGACTCGGGTGTTCACAACGCCTTGGCGAAGATCTATATCGATTCGAATAGCAATCCCGAGAAATTTCTTCGTGATAATCCACATTACGATAGTCGAATTGTAGGCAAATACTGCGAAAAACGCGACCCACATTTGGCTTGCGTTGCTTATGAACGTGGCGGTTGCGACATGGAACTTGTCAATGTAAGTGAATGATCAGAACATTTCAAACCATGCGTACAATCTTGGAATGATGATTTTCATTTTATGAGTTTCAAAAAACTGATTCAAATCCTTTTTCTTGTATTCGTACTGTCTGACCAAGACGATAAAAGCATACTTAGTGCAATCGAGGATTGAGAGAAAATCATATAACTACGACTAGATTCAATTTCATCATATACTTTAGGTTTGCAACGAAAACTCGCTATTTAAAAGCGAAGCACGCTACTTGGTTCGTCGTAAGGATCCTGCACTATGGGAACATGTCTTACGTGAAGATAACCAATATCGTCGACCATTGATCGATCAAGTTATTCAAACTGCGCTAGCTGAAACGCAAGATCCTGAAGAAATATCTATTACAGTCAAAGCCTTCATGACTGCTGATCTACCAAATAATTTAATTGAATTATTAGAAAAAATTGTTATTGATAATTCCGTATTCAGCGAACACCGGTAAGGAAAAGAAAACGGTCTAAATTGAAGTTCTTCTTTTATCGTTTGTTTTATAGTAATTTACAAAACTTACTCATTTTAACTGCAATCAAAGCTGATCGTACGCGTGTTATGGATTATATTAATCGTCTAGAGAATTACGATGCACCAGATATCGCCAATATTGCAATTAGTAATCAATTATACGAAGAAGCGTTCTCAATTTACAAGAAATTCGAAGTCAACACATCGGCCATTCAAGTGCTCATTGATCACATAAAAAACCTTGATCGCGCTTATGAATTCGCTGAACGTTGTAATGAACCAGCTGTATGGAGTATTCTGGCTAATGCTCAAATCCGTCAAGGACTCGTCAAAGAATCGATTGATTCATTCATCAAAGCAGACGATCCAACATCATACTTGGAAGTTGTCAATGTTGCAACACAAAATCGTAAGTGACTCTTGGGACGCGATCGATTCTCATCTGCTGTCTTCACCTTGCTTGTAGAAAGTTGGGAAGATTTGGTTCGCTATTTACAAATGGCACGCAAGAAAGCCCGAGAAACATTCGTCGAAACCGAATTGGCATTTGCTTATGCCAAAACCAATCGTCTCGTTGATCTGGAAGAATTCATTACGTCGCCCAATCATGCTCAAATCCAAGCAGTAAGTGATTTTATTCGCAAGAAACTTTTCTTTCAAAATGAATATGATATTCAGGTTGGAGACCGATGTTTCGAAGAAGGAATGTATGAAGCAGCTAAAATCCTCTACAACAACATTTCCAACTATGCTAAATTAGCTGTTACATTATGCTATTTGGGTGATTATCAAAGTGCAGTCGATAGTGCACGTAAAGCAAACTCAACAAAAACATGGAAAGAAGTAAGAGCTCGTTGATTGATCCTTTGATTCGATTGAAAGGTGTATTCTCTCGATAGATTTGCTTTGCTTGTATCGAAAAACAAGAATTTCGTTTGGCACAAATTTGCGGTATTCAAATTGTCGTTCAAGCTGAAGAATTAGAAGAATTAATCAATTTCTACCAAAATCGTGGCTATTTCGAAGAGGTCATTCAATTACTCGAAGCTGCACTTGGTCACGAACGTGCGCACATTGGAATGTTCACGGAATTAGCTATTCTTTATTCGAAATACAAACCACAGAAAATGCGCGAACATTTGGAATTGTTCTGGTCACGTGTCCGAAAGCCCAAAGTAAGCAAACAATCGCCGATCATTCCAATTGTCGTCTTTCTTCATTGTAGGTTTTACGTGCATGCGAACAAGCTCATCTCTGGTCAGAACTAGTCTTTCTCTACGACAAATACGAGGAGTTCGATAATGCAATCATAACAATGATAGCACATCCATCGGAAGCTTGGCGTGAAAATCACTTCAAGGATATCATTGGTAAAGTGGCCAACATTGAATTGTATTACAAAGCAATCGACTTCTACTTGGAATTCAAACCGATGTTATTGAATGATNGGTATGGGTAGTTTTCAACAACCAGGTTTTGGTGCTGGTGGCTATCCTCCATACGGTGGAGCACCTGGCTATTCAGGATACTAGAGAATGAAAATCAAAAATCCGAATGAATGACGAACAAATGAATTCTTCTTTTATTTCCATCATCTGTAAATGTTTATTCGTCTGTCCGTGTGTTCTTTCTTTTCTCACAATATTTATGACGATGATATAGTGTCGCATTCCTTTTTATTTCTTTTTCAATGTTGTCACACCTACGCTCTTATTCATTCTTCTTTCGATTTATCTTCTTAGGCAAAACACCGCAAACAAAGCAATACACACCTCTAGGAGAACCATTTATTTATATAACCCGTGATTTTTTTTTTCGTCTGGCAAAATAAAAAAATTTTCATCATCGTTTTATTTTGATTTCTTCTGCATATATATAAATATATATTTAATTGTTGTTTATCGTCGGAAAACAAACTTATTCGAATAGGTTAAAGAGAAAAAATACATTCTATTGTCAAGATTCTTTTTTTCTGTTAGTGATTTTGTGATCGTACGTGTAAACCTTGTCTTCTTTTTCTTTTCCTTTCGGTTAATCGTAATACAAGCGCATAGTTCTTTATCTTTTTCTCCTCCGTCTGTAACTTGCATTTCGTATCATCATTTAACATAATAAATTTGTGCAACTTTGTTTCTTTAAAAGATTTTGTCTACATGCGTGACTTCGAACAACACACACATCATGAAACAAAGTTTCATTTGCGAGAGAACAGAAGTAGTGATCGTTTTCTGTCTATTTCAGAACATTGGCTCCTATTGGGCATAGTATACCAATGGTTATAATTGAAAGTTTATATTGAACAATGGCTTTTCAACAGGAATATTTTGCTATACCGCCTATCACCAGGGCGTATACGACAACTTGTCTTTTAACCACAATTGCAGTTGTAAGTGCGCGTGTACTGTTCGAAATTTGTAGTTGATTGTATTCTTCTAGCAATTGGAATTTGTCACTGCGTATCAGTTGTACTTTAATCCAGAGTTGATCTTCAAAAAGTTTCAAGTAAGATTTCCTCCTACGCATCGAAAATTGTAACATTCTTGTTGAAAATATTTAGCTATGGAGATTGATCACTTGTTTTTGCTTCTATGGCGGCATTGGTTTCAATTTTTTCTTTAATCTTCTCTTTACTTATCGATACTGTCGTCATTTAGAAGAAGGTTCTTTTCGTGGACGTGCAGCTGATTTTCTGTTCATGTTTATCCTCGGTGGAACACTGATGATAATCATGGCATTATTCGTGAATATTGTTTTTCTCGGTTCCGCATTAACTATCATGTTAGTCTATGTTTGGAGTCGACGTAATCCTTTTGTTCGCATGAATTTCTTTGGCCTTCTGAATTTTCAAGCGCCCTATTTGCCATGGGTCTTATTCGCTTTTTCATTACTACTCGGAAACTCAATCATTGTCGATCTGATGGGAATTATCGTTGGACACATTTATTATTTTCTCGAAGATATCTTCCCACGTCAGCAAGGTGGTTTCAAAGTCTTGAAAACGCCAAGATTTCTGTATGTAATTCTTAGCACAAATAAAATCTCGATCTACTTCTTATTTGAATAGACATTGGCTGTTTGATGAAAATCGACGTCCTAGTGATGACACTGATACGCGTCCAAATGCCGGTAACGATGTACCTTTTGGTGCTGGTGGCTTTCATTGGCAGTGATCATATTCTTTGTTACTGAATTTTTACTTCTTGTACAGTACATGAATAAAAAAAAAACCAGGAGATCTGTATGCAAATTATATAAAATAAATCAGTATTTTCGTCTGCTCGAATCATTTCGTTACAAATATTTGACTATGTGCTGAGACAATGCTAAACTATGGCAATATATTGTATTGAACACAGTGGAAGTTAATGTGTAAGCAGTATCTTCTGTCTTGAACGGAAATCACATGAAATGAGAAAATTTCTTGAAAACTTCTCTTCCAATGTATAGATGTCAAACGAATATATGGTGTAATCGCTATCACATGTGAACAACATTAATCTATTACTTTGTACTGCTGCTTTTGTACCACACTATGACCTATTGTTTCTTCTATTAGCAAATAACGACAGGTGGAGTATCCCCCCTTGTTGTTCGTTATTCAATTAGTAGAACATCAAATGATTGTGTATATCTATCTATATGTTTTAACTAGATATTCTATGCCATATGACACGAAATAGTAATAGTGTGGTAAACTCCTCCTATTGCCCGTGGTGTCTATTATAGTTTAATTGGGAACCGTCTGTTGTGTAAAGAGAAGAAAGGAAATGTGTATGTTCGTACGAGAAAGACAATCATGTCGTTTGTTTTTTAAGTTTGAAAGCGATTATGGGAATGCAATAATCATTGATTGGATTCAACTTCCATTTCTATATCGAGTTCATCATCAAAATAACAATGAGATGTTCTGTCTGTTGGCAATCGACTCGATCGCATTAGAGATACCGTCTGTGATTTGAACTGGTCACGTAGTGAAGAAAATGATAAACAATCTGACTGATTCATTTCTTTTTATTCTTGCTACCGGAATTTTTCAAGAGAAGTAATAGCAGAGTGAAGAAGGCAAGACAGTTTAACAAGCTGTTGCATACACCTATCGGGCATAGAATGAAATACAAAAAAAAAGATGCAGATGAAAAATAATGGTACAACAGGTTGACATGATGACGCTGCCATGTAGCACAAGGTAAATAGAAACTTTTTTCTCTGCACATCGCAAGTGAAACTATGATTGTCGAACTGTTTGAGTTCATATCTGGATGATAAGTGTACTTCTCCGGTGATGCTTCTGAAGGCTAAAGAAGGTATACACTTCCATTATCGTTCGCATGCGAAAGAGAAGACGAGGTACATTTGTTTATCTTTTCTCCTTCTGTAAATGGCAACACCATCGGTATATATATATATATATATATATATATGCATATGTATATGTGCGTCTTCAATCTCTATCTATCTTGGGATGCCCTCGAACGTATGTATATGTACATCAGCTATCTCATCATCTTTCAATCATAAAGTAAACGAAATATTAGATGAGTTTTCTCTTTAAGAAAAATAAATATAGCGAAGACAAATGATTGTTACATCGTTGCATGCAAGAACAAAAGGTATTAATGATGTAATATGGAAAAAAAATTCTCTTTGTATTCTGAAACGGCACCAGGTGTTGAAAAGAACAGAGAGATGATAGAAAAAACAGGAGAAAAAAAAACACAGAGAAAAAGAACGACTGATTTGTTAGAATACATTTGTACTCATTAGATTATAATAATAAGAAGAGAGGAGGGGAAAAAAGAGTAAGTCGCACATACGTTACACATGCATAACATCCAGTAGTAGCATACATATAAACACTTTTTGATGTCGCTTTTTCTTATTATTTGGCAAGATAGACATTTTTTATGCCAGATAGGTTTTTTTGCTTTGACACACACGGACAGGATGCGAGAGGATGTACAAAATGTATTGAAGTACAAGCAATTCTCAGATGAGGAGAGAGAAACATACCGGATATTCTTTACATACGTCCGTCATATGTGCACCTATCAGAGGTGAGTAAAAGAGAAATATATGTCTCACGATTGGTGCAAGTACATTCACGTATTTCTTTCTTTTCTTCTATTCACACGTTTCTTTTTCTCCCTCTCGAGCACACGCATTTTATTTCAGTATAAGAATGAGATATATAAGGCATGTCTATCTACATTTATCAATACTTTCTTTCTCTTACAATGGAGGTAGAATATCATCCTGCTGTTATTCATTTGCAGTACGGTATATCCATCATCATCGTCTGTATATAGATAGCAAACAAAGGCACATTTGTAGCATAGTACCGTGTGTGTGTGTGTGTCTGCTTTGATTCGTCTATGAGTGACTTTCTTCGTTTTTTCTTTTGTGATTTTTGTACGAATTAGCAATGCTAATACGTGTCGAAGGGTAAACGACAGATTTGATAGGTTGTCTTTTTACATAAATGAATGCCAAGTTAGGTTGACTCGGATTACAGAAGAAGGAACTGAAGAGTAAGAAACTTGTTATTTTGTTATCTTTTATGTTTTGCCTTCGAGAAGACGAATCGTTTCCCTGCGTTTCGAATAGGTGCGAGAAGCAATCATTGAAAACTGTCATCTGTTTTCGATTTTCATCTCAGTTGGATGAAAAAGAAGAGAACTATGTAGTCTTCTGTTTATGTAAATCAGTGTTCGGTCAATGGTCGCGTAATGACGTTAGTTTGCAATAATAATGTGCATACATACATACATTCGCATCTTTCTCTATCATGTGTATAACACATCATAGTCAGAGATCGATTAGACAAGAGTATGCTACTGTTATTCTTCATGTTCTTCTTTGAGGAATAGGAAGATGTTCGCTCTTCCCACATGGCGTTCAGATTAATATCATCCTATTTTCGAACGCGGCATGTGAGTGTCTACATTGAAGAGATATGATTGCGTTGAAAACAGGTGAAGTCATCAACTCATTTCACTTTTCTAGATTGACTATTTCTTTCAAGTTAACCCGAAGATCCAAGTCAACATGATTGAAATGCATCAGAGTAAATAACACCGAAGGAGAATTGATTCATTATGTCTCAGATTTTTCTTCTATTTAGTTAATGATGAATGTGATAGCGGTTCTCATTCAGCAAAAACATTACTTGATGAAGACATGCTCCCAATAAAGAATGAATCTGGTAATAATTGATCATCGAAGGAAGATATGTCAATTCATGAGAGCAGTAACGATTGCGATTGTTTTCTTTTGATAACGAGCGATTCTCTTTCCTCGATGAGAAAATGCCTCTTCTCTTACAAAGATATTCGTACGTATATTTGTATTCTAGAATCAATCCTTTCTCAAACCAACCATTTGAATGAACTGACTGAATGTGCATCGGAAGACTTTCACTGCAGTCATTGCAACGCTGTTCTTACGACTAAAGTACAGTTGATCCACAAGGCAATGCATTTGATATCTGTGTTTATCTTCTCTTCTACAGAATGATTTACATGAACATGAATTAAATCACAATGCAAATCAAGTTTCTTGTCATATATGTCAGAAAATCTTCGCAAATACGTATCGTCTTCAACGGCATATGCTAAGTCATGAAGTCGATCCTCAAACTCGCAAATTTCGTTGTTTACATTGTCCGAAAGCATTCAAATTCAAACATCATTTGAAAGTATGCACATACAAATGCGTGTTTAGTATCAAGACTGAAACAAAGTTTCTCTTCATCGTTTAGGAACACATTCGTATTCACACGGGGGAAAAACCATTCGTTTGTCCGAACTGTAACAAGCGTTTCTCACATTCGGGATCCTACTCATCTCATATGGCATCGAAGAAATGCTGTGTCAATAGTTCTGAGCTTGAAGAAGGTGAAATCTTACCGCTGAAAACCGAGCAGAGCGCAGAAAAATCTCTGTCGATGAACGAGCAATTCGTACAATATTACTTTCATCTTCTACAAAATCTCATTTCACAAACTGAACCATTGGATTTATCGATAAAGAAATCCAATGAATCGCAACTGGAAACCGAATCATTAAGTCCAAATAGTTCATCAGAAGTCAGTTTCCTTTCGAATGACGATCCATCCAGTACGAAAAGATTATCCTGTAATATTTGTGATAAATCTTTTAACAAGCAAAGTTCATTAGCACGTCATAAATATGAACATTCAGGTAGGTTTACATAAAAACCTTTCTGATTCCATTGGCGTTTCTCTCATTAGGCGTTCGACCATTTATTTGTGATATTTGTACAAAAGCATTCAAACATAAACATCATCTTGCTGAACATCGTCGTTTACATACTGGTGAAAAGCCGTTTCAATGCACGAAATGTTTCAAACGCTTCAGTCATTCAGGTAGAGACTTTCATTTCGAAAAGCAAAACCATGAGGAAATCAATCAATTTAGGTTCGTTCAGTCAACACATGAATCATCGGTATAAGTATTGTCATCCTTATCAAACCGATGGTGGAGATGACGATTCGAATCCGCCGGAATCGATAGATGAATAATTCGACAGTATGGCAATGCTCAGCAGTGTGTTTCTAATATACCTCGAAGAAAAAAAGAAAATGTTCAATGTACACTTCGTTTATTTAATTGTATGTGACAATCATTAGCTTTCTTTTGAGTTATTTACAACTGACAAATGTTCCGTGTGACTGAGTCTCTTCCTTGTTGTTGTTGTTGTTATGGTCAAATGATGTTTTTTCTCTTTCGTTTTGTATCAAACGCGTGCTTTATTGTATTTAAAAAAAAAGAAGATAAACCGATTCGTATTTACTAAGAAATCACACTTTTTCCTCGTCACGTTTGCTTGATTTCGATTCAAAACGGGATTATTGGTCTGCTGCGTCATCTATCGATGTGGTCTATCAATCGCGTGTCGACTAATAACCATCTATAATTATAAGTTTGTTTTTTGAATCTTCCTTTCTCTCCTGTACATATGTAAATTGTACATTCGTTTCTTCATCATCGCGATAAACAAAAATTGTTGCGTCACAGTATTCAAATGAGAAGGGTTACATCATGATGTAAACTGTTCAGATTTTCAATTTTAGCTATGTTCCGCAATGCGGAATGGTAACTACGCCGAAGCGGAGGAAAAGAACACATCAACAACGTGACTGGGAATTTGAAGGTTTGCTTCAATGTGGATGTTTCTTTGTTCTGTTATTGTTTTAGATCGTCGTTTGAAATGGCGAGTCGAGCGCCGAGTTTCGTTGTAGTTGGTCTCGTTCTGATCACATTCCTGGTAGGATTTTTCTACATGTCATGTTCGTCGAGAACTACTGAACTGCAGCGAACTGTCGATGACTTCGAAAGTCGGATACGAACGGTAAATGTCTATCCTTGTTGATCTTGTAGATCATGCCGTTTTGTTACTAGTTAATGCTCAAAAATAGTGATAAAGATAAGCAACTTGATTCGTTGAACAACAAGAAAACTGCTTTGTTAGAAGAGAAGTTGAGTCTGAAGAAACAACTGGAGAAAAAAGATACGGAAATCAGTGATCTCAATACGAAATTAAATGAAAGATTAATGGAACTTCGAAATTTGAAAACGGATAAACAACTTCTCGATCAACGATTAGTAAACGATGATTGTTTTGAAGAACTTCAACAAAAATCGATGTATTCTTTTAGAAAGAATTTCGAAATACAAGTAATATGTTGGCCGCGAGTAATTTTGATATTAGTCGATTGAAGCAGGAATTAGATGAGCAAAAAAGTTCGTAAGATTTCCTATTTTGTTCATGTAATCGATTAACACGTTTTAGAATCCAATAAGGCGCAAATGGCGCGATTCGAAGGCGCAAATGACAGTTATAAAAATCGATCGTGAGTTCGATTTGTCAAAGGAACATGCCGGGCAAACAATGGAGTATTCTCTCATTTAGAAATCCTTCAGGTGGTCAATTTCTAGAATTCGCTAATCAACGTTTCAAACCGTTATTATCAGCTAATGAAACAGTCAAAAATACTTCATCAATTTTACAAGAACCTTTAACTAAAATTAGTAATTGGACCAAAGAAATCAAGAATAGATTTGCTCCAGTCGTCTCGGACATGAAAGAGAAAATCTCAAATGACTTGAATAATAAAAGTGATACAAGTGTTGATCAGAATATTCCAGCACCACCAGTGGATAACGACAAAGAGCATGGAAATCGTCGATTCGGAAGAGTAGATGATGTTGACAGTAAGTTCGAGACATGAAAGATAGCAACAATCGTTGCAATTGTGTGAATGTGCTATAGATCAACAACAACGAGATATCGAGACTCGTCAACGTGTAAGAAGATGTTTGAATGAAGTTTCACTGAATCATTTTATAACATATTTTATAGCGATATCGATCATTGAATCGTACTGATCGTGATACTGAACAAGATGACGGTAAAAACAATGTGCAAAAGGAGCCATCTCGTGTTCGTCGTACGTTTTCCAATAATGCTAATGTTGCCAATGGATTAGATGACGAAGTTTCTCGCTTATCAAAACACAGTCGAAAATCTCGCATTGCTGGACGTGAAGAGCGTCGAAATCGTCTGGTAGATAATGAAGATGGAAATCAAGTGATACGTAATCGTCGTAAAAAATCGGACGAGTAAATAAATCTTTCGTGATTCATATGTATTTATTTCTTCAGTTTCAACGCACTTTTTCTATTATTATAAGTTACATGTTATTTTTTGGCATTTATTTTTTTGCGATCAGCCGGTATCTATTGTTCATTCTGGTATCTGATCGTATTTTAAGTGTGTCTGTATACCTTCATTTTCGTGCTACTATTCATGTCAACCAGTTGAATTAACAATCGATCTTTTCTTTTCATACAATTTCATTAATAAAAATTGTATTTTGAATTTAGTATTGGACAAAAGATTTCGAATGTACTGGTTTCAGTCTGTAACCTAGACAAGCCGTTATCAGTATTTAAAAGTCCAAAAGTTGAGATAGGTGAAAGTGAGAACAAAACACCATCAGAAACCTTTTGAATCAATAATACAACACATCTTGATGATTTTGAAAGAAGTAATATGAGAGAAAAACTAATATTGGTTCGCGATGAATTGACTTTTTTCTTTTATTCTTGTGTGACATATGCGTGTATATATATGTATGGGTGTGTATATCATTTTACGTACATTCATTAAAATCTTCATGTTCGTAGAGAATGAGGATCTTGAATCCAATTCTTGCTCTCCTATGGTTAACTTTTCATATAGACAATAGTATTGCAAGTACGTGAAACGCTTTGTAGAAGAATGTAGTTCGTTGTACTATTGATGAAGCAATTTCTCATCGAAAATTGTTCGACTCTTCTACTTTAGTTTCATGTGATCGATATAACGTCGCCCACACCGTACAAGATGATTCTGTGATTATTAACTTTCTATCGAATGCTGTATTAAAATTAGATCGTAGTGTTCGATGTTCGGCAAATTCGTCACCAGAAACGGTGAATGGATGTGCTCATCAATGTGCGAATCTTGGTTATGGTCGAGATGGTGAAATTTTCCTTGATTTACAGCATCCTAACGGTACCAATGAAACCTGTTCGACAGCATACCGTACCGGTAGATGAACGTAGAAGATTATTTCACTCTCTAAAAATTTCCATTTTCAGAATTACAAGCAGCGAAATTTGAGTTTTTTCATGTTCCCGGTGATCGAATTCGTATAGGGGTTGTGCGTCCAGAAGGATCTTTTGATTATGTTAATGTTTATTGCTCAGAAGATGAGCCTCAAACGATTTTCAATACCAGCACGCCAACGAATGATTCCACGCAGACAGTTGATTGCTCGTTTTTACCGAATCTGCCATTGACAGATATTTCACTCGAAACGATTAAGGAAGATTTTCGTTCAGCACTTAACAATATCAATCGAGAAGGTATGACTGAGTACAAAAATATCATTGATATTGTCTATTTCTATTTCAGTTCCATTGCCCATACAATATAGCGCTTCTTTTAATTCTCTGTTACTCACCATATTCGCCAACGCACCACCAGCGATGAATCTAGGTAGTACTTATGAATTACATTTAAGCTTTTTTGACAAGAATAATCAAAACCTCACCTATGAAAGAGCACGAGTAGTCAATCTTAATCCCAGGCTTGGCGCAACATTCAACTATGGTCTTATACCCAATTTAAACCATACGATTACGTTCAAACATGTTGTCAATTCGACTATCTATGCTATTTCTACTTCCACAGTGTTGCCAGGTTTCAACAGCCATGTGTTTTATTCTGAGATAACCATCGCTGGATTTTTCTTTTAGTGTCAACTAATCCATATCCATACGAAGTGACAAATCTTCGTGTTCGAGAAGAATTTCAGAATATCATCGTCAGTTGGAATCACATGCATTATTCTGATGATCCAATTGAATTTATTGTGTCATGTAACTCGAATAATAATGTAACAGCCAATGTGAAGCAAGAAACTACGTATGTTTGTGAAAATCTACACTTCAATGAGACAAATAGTATCTCAGTGGAAACACGAATAGCCGTACCTAATTATCGACACGATCATACAACGATTGTGACAATCAATAGTAATATTTGAAGGCGTAGTTTACGTAAATTTTCATAATTTGTATATATTTTATAGTTCCACAAGTGCCCTGGATACCAGATGTAGAAGTTTATTACAAGACAGAAACTGACATCGCCATCCGATGGAACTATAGAGATGATCTACTGCGAACAGATTCATTTCAATATAGAATACAATGTGGCTCCAATGGTACTTTGTTTCCACTGTACATTCAAGCGAATGAACACCGATGTGAATCACTGGAACAAGGTGCATTGCATCTGATCACCATCTATGTCGTAAATATGAATAACACGATTCAACGAAAGAAAAGCATTTTAGAAGCAACATGTGAGTGATATCGAAATGAGAACCTCAGACCAAACATCTGTTTTCTCTTGTAGTACTTCCGAAATGTCGGTACCGAAGTCATTTCTATTCATCTGATATGAACGGTACTCGTTTTGTTATCATCGAATGGAGTCCACCCGACCAAGTGTTCGATAAAATACATGTTCTATGTCCATCTGCGTATATTCCGTTTCAATACCATCAAATCACGTCGCTGATGTACTTCAAATGTGAAGTTACGAATGGTCTCCCATACGACATAACATTTCATACTATGAAGAGCGGTTTTCCACTAGCAACATATCGGTTTACTGACACCGCACCAAGTAGAAAGCAGACTTTCATACTTAACAATCTGTATTTCTCTTTTCTAGTGGATCCTACGACATCTACGATGATAACAACAGCAACAACTTCGAGTATCACAGACATTACTAGAGTTACGACCCCAGAAACAACATGGCCAATTAATCCTGTACAATCATCAATAACAACAAAGACAACATCGACGACATTTGCTACAGGAACCTCAACAAATTCCACACATCCAGATTGCTCTCCAGACACCATTTCAACCATACGAACTGATTTAACACAATGGCGAATTGCTGCTATCATCGCTTTCATTATAGCTGGATTTCTGGCTATACTGATCATCCTTTTGATTATTTTCTCTGTAATTCTATATTCGCGAAATCGATCTGGTGATCACAATGAATAATAATACATATATGCCTACATGTGGGTTGAGTCAATATGTACATTAATTTAATCATGAATATTACACTTCGAGAGAAAACAAAAGTCAAGTATTCATGTCCTTTTTCTTTTTCTTCGCTACTCGATCGGAATATTTTAATATCGCACCACTACCTAGATTATGATCTATGTAAAATAAATAACAACGAATCGATTGATCTTTTTTCGAAAAGAGCCCTTCTATAAATGATTGTGTATTCGATACTGACGCACATTAGACCTAAAAAACAGAATGCAAAACTGTATTTTCATTATTTTGCTATTCTCCTCGATAACTCTCGTCGACAGTATTTTGTTCAGTTGTAAGATTCGCTCCTGAACTTTTATCTTCACTGTGAGTTCCTATTTCTAGCGAAACCAAAATGTCCGATAAAGAAATATAAATCCAGCACATACATTACCGGCGACCAATTACTACTCGATGAGAATTTTCACGATCGTGTTAAGCCATTAGAAAACGTCGCTAAGACTTGCAAGGTACGTCTAACTATTCGTGGATCGTATTATCAACTAACACAAGCAGATCAACAAGTGCTAGTGAATGATGCGGATCTGGTTATTGGCCATGGCTTTCGTTTTGAACTTCGGGATGAAAAAAATGGAGTTCTATGCAATAAAATATGTCTCTCGAAGAGTATCGAATGCTGAGTAATTGCCCGAATGCTTGAATACATTATTATATTTTTAGATCCAGCGGATATTCCCGAAGTGAGATGCTTTTTGGAAGGTGTGATCAACCATGGTTTAACATGGTCAAAATATAATTCTGACGTTATTAGTGATGGAACGTATGCTGCAAACACAGGTGGATATCAAGCATTGAAAACTGACATACAAACAAAATGCCAAAAGGAAAAATTCAAACGACAACTATTACGTATCCTTCGAACAATGTACGATGAAGAAGACAAATGACAAGAGAATTGAGACTATTCCTTCTTTTTCGGAAATTCGAGAATGAATCGAAAAATAAATAATCGATCGTTACTTTTCTTTGTAACGTTTATATATTTTTCATAACAAAAAAAAGGATTCAGTAAGCAATGTATGAGCAGTTTCTATTACAATGAGTTCATATTGTGTTAAGCGAAAGCTAAAAGAACAATAGTCATTAAAGTACAAATCGTAATAGATAGACTATCACAAGGCATTGACAAAAAATGGCAAGAAGGAGAAAAATGGCAATCGTAAAAGAAAAGCGAATTGTAGCGACCAACAGACCCGTCACATATAATTACATCGATTTACGGCTGTTTATAGCAATTCAGTGAGCTATTAACTCGGTTTCATGAAATGGCTTTTTCGGATTCAATTTCGATTGACGCATGTTCAATAAATCACCCACTTCTTCGGCATACTTGAGTACATCATCAAGCATTTCCTTGGTGTGCGATGCCGATAGGCAGAAACGAACACGGCCAAGAACTAATGGCGTAGCTGGAAAACCGACGGTGACAACAGAAACACCTCGTTTCAACATCTCACGATTGAACGCTCTGCGAAAGCGAAGAACATCTATTTTATGATTTGCTTTTCCGTTGCACTTACGCAATCTTTGATGGGCTGTATAAGAGAGCTGGTACAACAGGTGAATGAGGATGTCCATAAACAATGAAACCCATCTTGGAGAGACGTTGCCGAAAGTATCGCGTATTCCATGCCAATTGGTTGATTCGTTTTCGACCTGTGTACATCAAGCAAACATTCATATTCGATTCTTAACAGATCGTTTCAACCGTACCTTCACGTGTTTCATCGTCGTCAATCAATAAGTTCAATACTGAAATAATTTGTTCGACAACTGGCGGACTCATCGACATAGCATATGCACATGCATGTGAATTTATGCGAATGTGATCGATGAGCTCCTTGAAAAGAGAAAGATGAAACTCGCGAGGATTTTTCTTTTTCAACTTGCCTTCTTTCCGGCAATATAACCACCAGCCGCTGCGAAACTTTTTGTGAATGTGCCCATGAGAACATCCACGTCGTTTACGTCACATTTCCAGTAATCAACGACGCCGCGACCACGTAAACCCATTGCACCAATGGAATGTGCCTCATCCAGATAGAGGTATGCTCTATATTTCTTTTTCAGTTCGATTAATTCCGGTAATTTACATAAGGAACCTTCCATACTAGAAGCTCACACGACAATGATATCAAACACTAATCGAATCGTCTTTTCGCTTACCTATAGACACCTTCGACAATAATGAGGATTTTTTGCCAGGGTCGATGAGTTCGCGGTTGACCAGAGACGATAGAATCTCGTAACAATCGTTCCAAATGTTTCATATCTACATTGCATAAATCAATAATCATCAATAGGTAAAACCAAGACAGCTTACCATTATGTCTATAAACTTTAATCACAGAATCAGATAAACGAGCACCAAGAACAAGTGATGCATGATTAAGTTCATCACTTAAAATCAAACAACCCTAGACGAATCAATCGAACATATTCGTTTGTTTTAGTTCACTTTCTCCTTCACCTTTCCACAAAGCGATGAAATGTTCAGAGCGTTTGTTGCAAATCCCATACCAAAGGTAATCGCATCTTCAGTACCGAGAAATTGAGCAACTAACGATTCGAGTTTTCGATGTTGTTTCAAATTTCCTACAAAAAACAGATCCATAGTCACATCTCACACACATATCGACAAACATACCGAATTCCTGAGTTGTACTTGCTGTAGCAAGACCATTCTCTTTGATTGACTCGATGACATTATCTGCTATTGGGCCATTATTATTCGCAAAACCAAGATAATTATATGAACCAAGATTGATTGTTGTGATTTTATTTCCCGTGAAATTAAACGACCAATTGTAGTCCTCGGTAACCCGCTCCATCAGATCAAGTTTTCCACCTGGCACGCCGCCAATGGGTCGATTGAAGCAATCGGCAATCCTTTGGTAAACATTTCGAGTATAGAAACTTTCGTAACTTTGATATAATGGTACGAAACCCTACGTAGACAAACAAGTTAACGATTATCATTCATGAAAAATTCATCGATTTACCGATGGATTATATTCTGCTGAACCTTTGCGATTTTCGATTCGTGCTCGTCGAAGAAAATCACGAAACCAACCGAAAATATTCAAAATAATATAGTTTACATAAGTCCAGAATGCTTCGGAAAACGGCGTTGCCTCATACACTTCCTCTAACGATGGATGTTCAGGCACAGGCGTCGGATCACGAACAGTCATTTTTGCAGATCTCGGTTTAATAATCTAAAATTAGAACAAACAAAGTATACCCCTGTCCGTCGTTACATGTAACTGATAAATAAATGCACGCATATTTTTCGATCTACGCCTTTTTATTATCTCTTTAGACTACTCGGGCTTTTTTTTTCTTTCTTTTTATTTACAGAATGATAACAAGTCATCCACTGTGCATCATATCTTTACTTGAGTTGTTTGCCAAACGAAACCTTCGATAGAGACAGAGAGAGAGTTTCTGAAATCGGTGAACTTTGATATGAGAGAGCGAAAGAGAAAAAATCAGCCAAAGACTTTTCTACATATATATATATATATCGGTGGTGACATAGCTGCATCACTGAAAGAATTAAAAGGAAGCCAATCAAAGTTTTGACTACAACAAAATCTAATTAAATTATGGCATGTGTCGACATCTCAAAACTTTCAGTTACAACGACAGAAAATTCTCCATGATACACATATTTGAATAACATTAATCTTCAAAATATTTATGCAAGACTTCAATTTCATCCGCGTTCGCTTGCAGATTGTTTCCAACAGCGAAATATTTGTTTAAGATACTCGTTCGAAGTTGAAAGGTTATCTTATGGAGTTTTTCTCCGTACATACTGATATTGAAGATAACCCTAGAACTATATTAGTCTGTAGAAGATGATTGCTCATGAAATATTCGTTCGTTTCTCAGTCAATTGACATAGTAATCCAATCAAAGAAAGTTTACTTTTGGTACGCTTGTCCAACTTTGTAATCGAGCAATTTGTCAAGGTGATGCATACAAAGCGTACTCAATCGTTCCTTTTTTCACCCTTAAATGCATAACTAACAACAATCAATCATTCTTCTGCAAATACAAAACGACATTCTTTGTTCATTCGCTAAAGCACAAATGTGAATCACGATTTTAAATATCGAGTGTTGTCTTTTAATTTTCCTAAATACATATCGATTTTCGACAAAAAAAAAATCCGCTCTACACACATCGAAGATTTGTTTTTATATTCAATATTTTTCTTCATGAAGGTGGAGGATATAAATATCCTTTATTTCAATACGCCCCGTATATGAAATTATATATATTCGAATCGTAGTTACTTCCTTCAGATGAAATTTCTCTTCAGTAGTTATGAGCAGAGATGCGAAGGAAGGCAAAAGATTATAAATGGATATCGATTTTTTCGTTCTTTTGCTTCGCCTTTTTATAACTACTTTTTCTTTCGGTGTTCTTCTACCAACGATAATTGTGTATCTCAATATCGGATGTGTCATTATTCATACGGTCACGTTTCGTTAAGCATTTACTCTTCTTTTCATTCGTACGCGTTTTTTTTTCTTCATTGGAAGTTGCGAGCAAAGTGAGTTGATCCTCTTCATCATCATTCTAATCTTCTTGCAAACTTATGCTCATGTACATGTTAAAGTATGAGCATAAATGTTGCGTGTCTGACAATATAAGAATCAGGTTACCGGTGAGATGCAAAGAAAATTATTGTTTTTACGGGGCACGGTCGATACTGACATTTTTGTTGCTACTCTTCAAATGTTTACTAATGTTCTTCAAGTATCGAGAAAGGCTTTTTTTTCTTCTTTTCATTCTACATCGATTCTCGAAGGAACATTCTCACTCTTCGCTCAGTCGTACTCATTATGTAAATAAACGTTGCTTGTGCGCTGATGGTAAGTCGTGATGGTGACCGAATAGTTTAAAAAAACAATCTGACGTCGTACTTTTCTATAAGACAGCGAGAGAATTTTTTCATCTTATAACATTTTTCTTTCCTATACCGACAAATCTACTTCCAGATGACAGCAACGAAAAAATCCGAACAGAGATCAATGGTAAAAGTGCATGAATCTCGCTGTGATATTCATTGCTGATTTTGATCTTTTGCAGAATCCAACACATACTGAATCATCACGTGAAGAATTTGAAGAAACACCGACATGGACAGCTGTTGTTACCGTACTTGGCTATGCAATTTTAAGCGCACTCGGATGGTTACGGGATTTTCTTCGCAATGTTGGCTTAGAAGAGAAAAAAACATCTCACGATCCAAATCCTAAAGTATGAAAAAGACAAACTAGATTTACTTTCAATTGATCGGTTCTTTTTCAAAGGATTTCGTACCACTCTATCAAAGCTATGAATGTTTTTATACACGAAATTTATATACGCGTATACGTGATGTATTCAATCAACCGATCGCTAGTGTCGCCGGAGCTAAAGTCGATGTGATGGAACGTGTTTCAGATGATTTCAATTGGACATTCAAGTACGACAACAACATAACGAAACGAAATTTAATTGGAATCTGTTGCGTATGTTTAGATTTAGTGGCAAAAAGATACCGTCGATCAATCTAGGCTCATACAATTATCTCGGTTTTGCCGAAAACTCCGGTCCATGTTCGAATCAAGCGATTAAATCGATTGAAAAATACGGTCTTACAACTTCGAGTACACGTCATGAATTAGGAACACAAAAATATATGGTTGAACTAGAAACCTTAATGGCGAAATACTTGAGCGTTGAAGATTGTATTGCATTTGGTATGGGATTTGCAACAAATGCTTTGAACATTCCTGCTCTTGCTGGCAAAGTGAGTGTTTGATTGTTGGTTAAAAATGACTCATTAAGTTTGTGTTTTTCTCTGCGTAGGGTGATTTAATTATTAGTGATACACTCAATCATACGTCCTTGATTCTCGGTGCTCGTTTGTCAGGAGCAGTCATTCGAAAATTTAATCATAATGGTTTGTACTTCAGACGTGCATAGATCTTCTCTATATAGAATTGATATCTGGGTTTAGATATGAAAGATTTGGAAACTGAATTACGCAATGCCATCATTCATGGTCAACCGCGCACGTGTCGTCCATGGAAAAAGATTCTTATCATTGTCGAAGGTGTTTATAGGTAAAGATTAACGCTTATTTTCTCTGTTATTGTATTTTGTATGAAATTGATTTCTAGTATGGAAGGCTCACTATGTAAATTACCGGAAATAATTGCACTGAAGAAGAAATATAAGGCGTATTTATATGTCGACGAAGCACATTCGATAGGTGCGATTGGTTCCCATGGTCGCGGTGTTGTTGATTACTGGAATGTCAGTCCTGATGATATTGATATTCATATGGGAACATTCACAAAGAGTTTCGGTTCAGCTGGTGGTTATATTGCCGGGAAAAAAGTAAGACTACCCGACTAAGTCTTGATAGAAATAATACATCACGTTTTATAATGATTTTAGTCATTAATTGATCATATTCGAATTCATACACATTCAGGTTGTTATTGTCCTAGTATGTCAGCACCTATTGTATACCAAATCATATCAGCTTTGAGCATTATCATGGGCCTTGATGGAACTAATGATGGTAAAGCATTCGGTTTTTTGCAAAGTGAAGATATCATCGAAAGATCTATTGTAGGACAAAAACGTATTAAACAATTAGCTCGTAATGTACGCTATTTTCGTCGTCAACTGGTTGATATGGGTTTCATTGTCTATGGAAATGATAATTCACCTGTCGTTCCAGTGATGATTTTCATGCCCGCTAAGATAGCGTATGATGAATTTGATTTTGTTGACATTTCTCAATGAGATATTCTAGTGCTGTTAATCGTGAGATGTTGAAACGTGGTTGTGCTGTTGTGACAGTTGGATTTCCTGCCACTGCGCTGACTGAGTCACGTGTACGATTTTGCCTCTCTGCTGGCCATACAAAAGAAATGCTTGATGATGTAAGTCGAAAGGAAAGACACGCTTTTTCTTCTATGGAAATCTCCTCTTAGGCTTTAAAAGCAATGGATGAAGTCGGCCATCTTGTATCACTCCGCTACTCGAAACGCAATCCTCCATTGCGTTGGAACGAACTCAACCGAACTGATTATGAAAACGAATATTTCTCCTGCTAAGTCGATGGTCCTTTTTCTCGCTGGTTACATGTGATTTTGTTCTCTTTTTCATTCTTATGGAAAGATAACAAATGATACTGGCAATTTTTTTTACATTTTTTGTGTGATTTTGACAAATCGATATACCTGTGATAGATCCGCAGCTAATAATCTCATTACTAATTCATAAAAATCTGTTTTTTTTTCGAATAAAACAACACTAATAAAGAAAGATTACACACTGTTTTTTTTACATGCGAAGCAGTTCGAATTGACAGTTAACAGTATGATCGGTTTGCGTATTGCCATTGTTGCAATACATATCTTCATCGTCGTCATCGTCATCGTCGTCATTATCTGATCGTTTTTTATGTAGACTTTCATTCGACAAAACACATGTAGACGTCATTCGAACATTGCGATTGGAATCGGGCATTAAAATCTTTTGTGACTGTTTCGTACAGGTCAAGCACGTTGGAATTATACCAATAAGATCAAAACAGAAATTGCGGTTCAATAATGCATACAAATATGGATTCAAACACGAATTAAAATATGCCAAGGCGTGGGCGAATGCACGAATTGTGTAGAGAACTTTCGGATGAGAACGTGCAACTATGTAAAGTATGGATAGTTTCGAACATTTCATCAGTTCAAGGATATGTATTGGTAGCCAACAGAGAGCAAATGCTAAGGTAACGACAATAACCTAAAATAGATGTATTAAGATGAGTTCTATTAATCTTTATGCTAGCAAAGCTAAGAAACATTTGTATCGTTATGCAATTTTGGATTAGATGTAGAGAAAAATGTCCTTACCATTTTAGTTACTTTCCGTTGTTTTCTTTTCAGAAATTTTGGCATATTTTTCTAAAAATAAACACATTTATGTCTCTCAGGGGAATTTCACTCAGTGTCTTGCTTATTACAGCGTTTAAATGGTTGGCAATCAACTGGTTTGATTGAATGACATGCATTGCTAATTTTGTATAACAGACAATGATAATAACAAGCGGAATAGCATAATAAGAACAAAAGACAAGAAAACAAACGAGAAAATTCTCGTAACTGTCCGGACCGCACGTTTTAGAATTCGAGGCGATAACGTGTAAAATGATATGATACGGAACAATCAAAGCAAGTGAACCTATAGAGAAGAGAATACGGATTTACGAATAAAAAGATCATCATTGTCGTGAGACAACATACTAGCCCAAATAATCAAACAGATCAACATCGCCGTATGCGGCGTGCGCCAGTATAATTTGGATTTTGGTGAAACAATATAAAAATAACGATCGATGCTCATTGCTGCTATAGTATTACAAGTTGCAAGAAGAAATACCTACATTGGAGCATATCTGTAATCTTTCATCACGTAATTCTTATCGACTTACATAAGCGAGGTACATGTGAATTTTGCAGATTATTTCACTGAATGGATAGTTGTTAACTAAACCCAAATATGTTGTGTATGGAATAGAAACAATTAAGAATAATACGTCCGCCAAAGCTAAATTCATTACGTAGCAGTTCGTAACATTCAGATATTTGCGCTTCCGAATAGCAACAAAGATGACTACTGAATTGCCTACAAGAAAAACTTATTAATTATCTGCTGCAAAAATGGAGTCATCTCTGTCGACATACCGAAAAGACCTAAGATGAATATTAAACAGTAAAATGCAATCAGCAGGTCACCAGCAAACCAAATGAAAACATCATGTTGAGCATTAGCGATACCTACAAGCGAGCTATTAACAATAGCGGTTTGAGAAGACTGTATTTTCATTGTTTTGTCCTGTGTGTTCATTGCGCCCAATAGATCATGTTCGTTAAGTACAAATAGAATCTAGAAGAGACGAGAGGGCGTCTTGATCACTAGAGAATTCTGTGCAAAGAAGAACTTATCTTCTTCATGTTAACTCTTCATTGGATTCAATAAATGAGATAAGGAAGAAAAACATCAACCCGGTAATAGTCCTTCTACTACTTAAATGCACACTAAGGGTGTAATGAGATTCACGCTAACTATGTTTGCTTCTCTGCGCACATCTACTATTGTGCTTATTTTGCTTGCCAACGGCTATGTCGAAGTGGCCTAGATGATTTATATATTTGTATCCTTCAGAAGTTCGCAATCATACATCATCGAACCACTCAGTTGCTAAGGAAGCCGTTGTCAAACAATATATCTGGATCAATAAATCCATTCATTAGAGGCAAGAATCGAGAAGAAACATATCATCTATGAAAAAAGTCATAGACACGCCGCTTTACAAAAACGGACAGGTCAATGGTGTTCATTTGCAAGCTGTTAGGTGGCACTCAAGACATTAAAAAAACAGTTGATTTACTGAAAATAACAACAGCAGAGAGTAGTTGTCGAAAACACGATGAGTACAACTGTACTCAAGAGAACTATCTGATCGAACTTCGCTCGAAGGCTCCTATATAAATTAAAGAGAAATCAATTCGACTTGCTTCAACTACATCAACGATAACTATTTTTCCATCGGCACTGTGCGTCTAAGTGCAGGTCTTTCCGAGGGGCATAAACGCGTGCCTTACTTTGAAAACTTCTCGTTTTGTAAAAAGAATACTCAAAACATCTTATTTTTCCTTGTTGCAAAAAGAGACGAGAGCGGTTTGCCTTGATAGCATAAAAGTTTAATGCGCTCAGGCAATACAAATTGTTCTCGCTTTTATCATTGTTTATATCATAAGGATAAATGAATAGCTTTTGTCTTTACTATGCAAGTGCATCAAATTTACCCTCCCCCCTCCCCAGTCGTCTCTCAGTGTTGACATTGCATACGACGAAGGAGCTGAAATACGGAAAACACATTTATAGATGCGCATGTGCTAATTGACAGTAGTTGAAAACGCGCGTTTTCAGTTACAACAGATGTATCATTTGAAATACAAGCCTCACTCTGTTTTACTGACTTCCAGCAATAAATATCGTTGTAAATAGGTTTTCTGACAACAAATAATCTAATCTATTAACTTATATGTCACAGCTGTTGAGAAAACGTCTGGTTTATTGCACTTAACGGCAGCTTCTTTTTTCTGTGGAGATCTAAAGGGGAAAAAAATCAATCGTTTGAAAATTGCAATTACATCACACATGATGTAAACATCCAGAGACAATCAGATTATCTTTGCGGTTCTCTTTTTTATGCAAATGAGACTATTGAGATTCTCTGATGGTGTAGTAATGTACACGCGACTAGAATAATAAAATCGCTTATTAGTCGATACTATTATTTGCCGAGATAAAAATTCAAGTAATCGTTCTTACTTTGATGAATGACACCCAATGAAACGACCAATCAGTGACAAACATTTCGAACGAATGGTTTTGAAAATAGATTGCTGCACCAATAAAAACGACTGCTGGTCCAATAATGTTTCTATTTTACACGTTCGTACGATCGGTTTAGAAGCCACCAATGTACTTCTCATGTTAACATCAACATAGCCTACTTGTTAATCACGTAGGAAATACTAGGTAGACATTTCCGGAAAGGAGCGGCAGAGAGAAAAGAAGCGGGAACTAATGTTTCTATTCGATATATTTTGATTTGTTTTCAACACAGGAAAAACAATATTGTCAGTCGATAATTAACTACCGGCATATTTGTTCAAGATTACTGGCATGGTTTGATTCTAGAGGAATTAAAACGCGTGAGACCAATTTCCGACTGAACGATTGAATTTTTAATTATTATTATTCTACTCAGGAAACAAGACTGGCTAATTACGCAGAACAAAACAAATGGATTTCGAAAACGTTGTTGCTACGTGTTCTCTAAGCGAAAATAAGTCTGAATAGACCATAGAGTAATGAAACAACAAAACAGAATTGATTTTAGCGCAAGCGAGAAACAAACGTTCCGAAATCCTCAGACTATTAAAACTTGTAGCTAAACACTTTCCGACGTGATTATACTTTGCCTTGAAAAAACATTATTATCGTCGGACGTCATTGTTCCGAAAAATGGAATAATTCTCAAGCTCTTTGTTGACAACTTTGCAATCATGCAAATAAACGGGAAGCGTTGAGCAAGAAGAAATTTAAACAGGAATATAACGAGCTCCATGTATGTGATTAAATATTCTATCCGACGTCGTTAACAATGTAAACATCTGACTTACTAGATGCCTAAGTGATGAAAGCAGATGCGTGAGAGACTTTCTTTAGAAATCGACACTCATTTATTTAGTTTTGTTGATACTTACATGAGATGTGAAAAGAATGAAATACTAGTTCTGCGTTTTTCGAGTGGAATAGCTATTTCCGACTAGGTCTATTGAAATAATGCAGTTTATCTTGATATGAATACTTAAGGAAAACTCTTTCATGTCCGATGTAGCTATTAAGAAGTATTTCTCCAAACGAGCCGCGTTGTCCCTTGCAAAACTATCATGTGATAAAGATGTGTAACATTACTGCTTGATAAAGCAAAACTTCTGTTTATCCATCAATATTGTCCTACATCTCATATACATAAGCAGAGCAAATTAAAAGAAAAAGAAAGCTTAGCAAAATCTGTTGAAGCTTATTTTGGTCTGCTAACTTTTTTGTCATGAAATCAAGAGAAAAACAAGGCAAATCGTGATATAGTTACCTGAGCTCAGAAAAACAAAACTTTCATTAGAAACATGAAACCCTTGTGAGAACTGTTCGAGCTGATTCCCAGCTCTATGATTAAAAATTTATTTTCTCGTCGCAGGCGTATTCATGTCTAAACAATCGATGGACCGCAAGAAATAGGTCTTTGACAGAACAGGACATGTCTATACGAATAGCTCGGAGATTAGTTGTAATAGGTAAATTTTTTCAATGATAAATATTTTAAGAGCAACGCGATCAAATATTTAAACATAGTAGCGTCTTAAAGTGGATTGCCGTCAACATAAAAGGATCTCTTGAGAATATGACGTTGCCATTTGCACTGACAACCATTGGATTACAAGTACTGAAAAAGGCAAAAGATCTCGCTGTCAGTTCTATTAAAAAAAGAAAAGAAATGGAATCTATTTATGTCTATCCTGTGTTAGAAGCAATTTTTTTAAAAAAGAAAACGTCAACCACAATTGACAGAAAAAGAGAATACATGTGATATTAATGCTAATTGACAGAAATATGAAAGGTCACTTCAAAGATTCTTTGGTCCACGATGAATTGGAGCGGGCGTTAATAAAACATTATCTGATGCATCTTGTACTTCCAGCAAGGAACGGAGTTTCTGTTGAGAGATCGAAGTCTTTGGTGGTGCTCTATAAATCATCAGATCTAAACCTTGACTATTTGCAATTGATGTTCGATTCAGAGCCAGACAGCGGCCAATCAGCGCAATTAGAAAGAATATCCCAATAAAAGCAAATGCGACTATGGATGCTACGGGAGTGAATTCGTATCGTTCAGTCGATGGTGGTGGTACGGTTATAGCCATACCGAACAGTAGTACGTTGAATTTGTGATTGCGATTCCATTCGATCATTGTGAGTAAATCGTATCTGGTTTCGATCAACTGTCATGAATATCATTGGCAGTCGATGAGAAAGATATAAACAGGTCTGTTTTAGTTCTGATTGTTTAACGTCAAATCGTCCTTGAATAACTTTTGTAGGAATATTCGCTGTTAGAGCAGTGATGGCATTTTATTAAATAAACAATCTTGCTTTCTAAACGTACCAAAGTATATGGAAACGCTTCAATACGTCTCACACTCATTCTTCATTTTCAGCTTCTCGCTTGTTCAAGAACAGAGTTGAGCAGAACATCTTAATCATAATATCGCGTCGAGCGTGAGAAAGATAGGTAACCTTTTCAGATTGTCATTTTTAGAATCTGTTCTGGATGATTAGCATCTTAGACATACTTTTCTTCAAGTGCAAAGTTTGGTATCGTTTGATATGTCACGAAGCATCAGACAAATCTTTCACATTTATTCGAAACAAGAAAAAAAGAGATTCGTTTTCTATCTGACAAAGATTTCAATGCATAAACCAAATAAGATCAAAGTTCTGATAAATCATTAACTCATAACAAAGTCCAATGGACGACGAAAGACTAAAACATGTGGTTCTAAAACCGAATGGAACAATGAATTTGAAATAAACGAGCAACTCTCAGCATTCATACCTGGATTATGGTGCATAAAATGGATCCATCCAGCAGACATTTGTAAGCCTGTATGAAAAGATAGATAAGTTTTTTTTTACAAAAGACTTGTTTTCTTCATTACCTAAATTTCTCCATTCAGTTTCGGTAAGCAAATGAGTACGAGGAACGATTTGCGCTTGTTCTGCTGGTAAAATCACATGCCGGTATTCATACATATCATCCTTATATGATTCACTATAGAAGACTTCTTTCACAGACATTCAAATCTAGAAATATCTAAAGAAAAATTTATTTCTTAGCAGCAAAACAAAACCCATGCGTTATATGAAAGAAAAACTGTGTTATTATTTTGCGTAACAAAACTGGAAAGATTAAAAAATGATAGAAAAAAAAAAGCAACAATATAAAATGAGATTCAAACATTCTCGTATCTTTTATTTATAATAAAAGACATGATGGTTTGGATACTTTGGCCGTTTTGGGTGATAATACAGCGCGAACAGCATCATCAAAAACCTTCGAAGAAAAATAAAACAAATCAGAATAGCAAAGATTTGATGAAAATGAAGTTATACCTGTTTAAGACCCTTTTGTGTCAATGCTGAGCATTCTACGTATTTAAAAGCGCGAATTTTTTTACATAATCGTTGTCCTTGTTCACGTTTAATTGGTTGGATATTTTGCTTTTGCAATTGATTGACAAACTCTCGATCTTCACGTAGATCGATTTTCGTTCCTAGAAAAGAAACCACCACATTTTGAGTTTTACTTAAAATTAAGAAAGTGAAGACATTTACGAACCGCATAGAATAACTGGCTTATCTGGGCAATGATGTCGAATCTCCGGCATCCATTTATTGATTACGTTTGTATATGATGTTGGACTAATTACACTAAAACAAAGGACGAATACATCCGTTTGAGGATATGACAGTGGTCGAAGTCGATCATAATCTTCTTGACCGGCCGTATCCCATAAACCAAGTGAGACTTTAACATTATCAACAACAATATTCGATGTGTAATTATCAAAACTACAAAGCAATATATGATAATGAGGAAACGATCGAAGGATTAGTTCGTTTCTCTTACACGGTCGGGATATATTCTTCCGGAAATGTATCACTTGTAAATGAGATTAACATACAAGTTTTACCAACAGTTCCATCGCCAACAATGACTAATTTAATTGGTACACTTTGATGAGGATTGAGTTTATTAGCCATCAACACAGCAGTTAGTGATACTTCTGGCCTTTCCTTTTCTTTGTATCGGTTGCTCGAATGCCAATAGCGATGCTCGAAGGAAGAATATCGCTTACAGCTAAAGGCAAGGTCGTGAAAAAGTTTGCTCAAGTATTTTTTTTTGCTTGACAAGTTTCGATATATGGGCAAAACGAGCACCAATAAAAGTACAACTCGATTTTCGAAAGGAAAAATTCGAATCAATATGAAATGTTTGCTAGAGGATCTATCGAGCGGTTTTGATTGGGCGGAAATCAGCCAATCAGATTGTTAGATGGTCATCTGAGCGAGCGAAACACTCAGCTGCTTGACAAAATAATTAATCTCGTTAAATGCGAAGATTTGCAATTAGAAGGCAGAATGACCAATTTCATGTTGATTATCGAACGAGAAAGATCTTCATCGTAGGCTAATCGACTACTTATCGAGTAAAGACGATTCGTCGCATATAATTAATTATGCGTATCTGTGAATTCTGCTGCGTAATAACTCTTCGGATAATTTCTTGCTTATTTTCGAATTATGAAGAGAGCAGCGCTAGATGAGTGTTTATCGAATAAAAACAAACACTTTATGTAATGTAGTGTACGTCAATGTTTAGTTTCATAATCAGAAGATAAGAAAACAACGCAGGAGTTTAGAAATATTATCTAGTCGTTTCATTTTCGAATTACCTGAGTCACGCATCGCATCGATATTCGCCTAGAACAACGTATACTCTATTCATTTCAGATATTTTTATTGTGTCAATGAACAGTTTTTAATATGGACTATCGAACACAGAACAATGAAGAGAATGATGGTTCTGATGAAAATGAACAAGTATTATCTCCATTCGTACACTTCGAAACGCACGAGGATGAAAATAACAGTGAGAAACGTATGCAACAGTTCACTGATGCTTTCGATGGTGAATTCTTCTTGTTTCTTCTAGAATCCAAGTGGAGTCATCAGCAAGATCTCGACGATTTCTTCGTTCAAGTTTATCAATATCATCAAAAACACGGATTCTTTTGTATAGCTATTTCCGAAATCTTTGGTCTTATGTAAGTTGAATTGCAAATGAGTTTTCTCTCGTCAAGATTTCTCATTGTTTTCTAGACAATTTGTATTTATTGTTTCATTTACAATTCTACTTGTACAATGTGTCGACTATCCGCTTTTATTTCGTTCCAGTCCAGCAGCCAGAAATATAACAGATAAAATACAAATCCATCAAGTCATTCAATCGCCTAAACAATGCCTTCATAAGTAAAAACTGATTTCTCTACCGCAACCAGCAGTTTCTTTACCGTCATTACATTTTTAGTATGTACCGAATAACAAATTGGTGTTTGATACTTTCAATAATCTACTGGATATATCGTTTTGCTTGTGCTGTGTACCATCTTGCATCGTATTTTAATATACGATCGTTCTATACTCAGGCCTTAGATATCAAACCGGTGCGGAAAGCACATCAATTGAAATTCCATAGAATAACGAGAGATTTGTTGTTTGTTTCAGCATGACTTACCAAACATGACCTGGCACGAGGTTCAACAACGATTACTGATTGCTCAACGAACACATCATTTATGTATACACAAATCAAACTTAACAGAATTAGATATACATAATCGATTGTTACGCTTTAAAAATTATGAAGTCGCTCTAGTAAACAAAGGTGTTCTACCATTGAGGGTACATGTGCCTTTTCTTGGCGATATGTAAGTTGATATATGAAGATAACTTTTCGATCCGCTTCAGTTTGATTTAGAATTTCATTTACGGCTGGATTCAAGTTCAATCTGCGTTTGATTCTTTTTTGTAAGCACTTTCTCCGTTATGGTTTTTATTACTTGCCTTCTTTTTTCTGTCAGCGGGACCGTGCGCACCATTTGATCAACGATGGCATCTGCGACAAGAGTATAAAATTCATAGTCAACGTGAAGTTCTGGCAAATCAGTATGCTATTATCGTTGGAACTTTCTCCGCAATACCTAAATGACCTTTTAGGCTATCACGTTTAATTCTGCTCTATGGTATTGCTAATCTCCTGCTGTCTCCGTTTATATTCATCTGGCAAGTTCTTAATCTATTCTATGGTTACACTGAAGTAAGTAAACGTTTGCTATCGGAGAAAAATATTTGCTAGATTTCGAAATGTGTAGCTTGTTCGACGTGAGCCAGGCGTATTGGGTAGCCGTCGTTGGAGTAATTATGGTCGATTGTATTTACGACATTTCAATGAACTTGATCATTCATTAAATCAACGATTGAATCGTGGTTATCGACCAGCGATGAGTTACATGACATCTTTTGTGAATTACAGTATAGTTGAAACTGCAAAGTAAAACTTTTCTATTGTACTGAACAAATCTGGATCGGTGCGGTTCTCTTAGATTTGTGAGTTTCACAGCCGGTGCAATTTTCGCTGTTTTAATTGTATTAACAATTGTTGACGAAGACGTGCTTAACGTTGAACACATGTTAACATTGATGACTGGCCTAGGAGTTCTACTTGGTGTCTGTCGATCTCTAATACCTGACGAAGTAAAACTTTCAAGCGATAAGTCCGACCTTTTTTTGCTAAAGGCACTTCTACTCTAGAATGCCGTTTTCGATCCTGAACAAATGTTACAACTTGTTCTTGCACACACTCATTACCAACCTGATTCATGGAAAGATCATGCGCACACTGACTATGTACAAGCGGGATTTGGACAAATATTTCAATTGAAATATGTACGTATTGATCGTTCAATCGGATCGAAAATAGTTTCTTTTTTCTTGATTTCAGGTGTATTTTCTCGAAGAACTATTCAGTCCATTTGTGACACCCATCCTTCTGTGCTTCCATTTACGTCGAAAGTCATTGCAGATCATTGATTTTCTTCGAAACTACACAGTCGATGTACAAGGTGTTGGGGATGTTTGTAGTTTTGCACAATTGGATGTTGCTAAACACGGTGACTTAAAAGTAAACACACGATCCTACCCGCGTTAGAACAGAAACAGGAAACACCTATTACTTTTTAGTGGTTTGCACCGGTACGAGCAAAACAGGGCAATGATGCCGGAATAACAAATGATGGTAAATTAGAACTATCATTAATGCATTTTCATCATACAAATCCCAAGTGGCAAA